ATTGATTTCCCGACTTTCACTGCATCACCATAATGATACAACTACTGAACATATAGTTCATTTAACAGAGTATAATACGGATGCTTTTACTGAACATAATGAAAAATCTACCGAATATAAAGAAACCGGTACCACTGAAGGTAATACATAATGTACTGCAAATAATATTGAATCTGATGAACATATTAATGTCGATGGTACTGAACATAATGAAAAATGCACTGAATATAACGTAAGAAGTACTGAACATAATTTAAATACCACTGCATATAATAATGAAACTACTGAACATAATAACCAAAGCACCGAACATAATGTCAAAACTACTGAACATAATGTCAAAAATACTGAACATAATATGAAAACTACTGAACAAAATATAAATACTACTGAACATAATGCATAAAGCACCGAACATATTAAACAATCAACATCAGAAGACAGTCATGGCGTTCCATATGCACGCATACAAATCTATTACATCATTACTTCATTTCCCCCCGAATATATTCAATTTACTAATATGAATGTTACACCAGTTTTCTCATCAACCATTGACATAACATTCACTTGAATTTTTTTTATATGGAGGGTCAGATTGTGTACTCCGGATTGAGGTCTGTCTCTATTCTACATGTCTTACGTCCCGTTTTCTGATAAATATATGGGGTTAGTCTCAATGATTATATATATACAGAAGCTCACAGATTTCTTGTTAATTAATTTATGGTGATTGTAGATTGTTGTCAGGGGTGGATTTAGGCGGTTTTAGCTTGAAACTTTAATTTCTCGCTAATTTTACCACACAATATTTTCGCTTGGCGAGATATCTACATTGCACCCACTCTGGAAGAACATTTCGATAATTTTACCTCAAAAATTTTTTCGACATCTCACAGAATATGGCACTGTGTTAGGTCTAAAGTAAATACTTATCAAAGGTACCAGGCTTATACTATTTTCTACGCCAGACGCACGTTTCGTCTACACTCTACCAAGTGCAAACTCTTCGTCTTTCGCAAAGGTTTAGGGTGATATAGGCAGAATTGCACATTTAACTTAGGAAAATATCTCATGAATTAGTCAGAAATGTGATATGATATGTGCTTTATGTGATAAATTAAATAATTTTGAACTTGGTTAACTTTGTGATTCAACCCCAAGCGGAGAGTGCATATATATATACCAAATAGTTAATAATCGAGTTGTTCAATATATGTATATCTGAATACTACAACGCAAAAATAAGCATGCTATAGATGTCTGTCTATGGCATTATGGTAACTTCCTGGCATTGGAGATCATAACATGGATTTTTTTTTTAAATTGGAAAGACGTTATTTTACAATAAGCTATACCGCTGTTACAAAAAATAAAGGAACAGATTTAGTTAAATGTTATGGCGTGTGTTTTACGATATGAGCACGGAAGCCTTGTCTGTCACACGTGCACAGTGGGATATCCAGTGAACGAGAACAAAAGAAAATTCACTCTTCTTATGATAGAGTCGAGAAGGTCAATAATGAAACAATGCCGGTGACGATACTGATCAAAAGCTATTTCTAAATGATAATTGTTCATTTTAAATAAATTAATTGTTAAACTGTGTTATAAGAAATATACATGCAAATACACGATGTTTTATGTTCAGCATTTATCGAGATAATTACATTAGAAGCTTGTGAAATTGAGATTTAGAAACTGCCAATCTTTGCTGCATATTGATAAAAAAAAATTGAAAAAAATCATGAACATACAAAAATGTGCTTCCTTTTCATTATAATATCATGTATAGCCTGTCACGAGAGCACCTAAAAAAAGTTTTACCCAGGTAAGTATGGCATCAAGTTGTACTTTCAGGCATCTGCCATCCATATTTTGGAAAGGCGTAGGTTTTTTTTAAAGAATTGTTTGATTCTGAATTCCTTGAGAAAAAAATTGTCTAAAATGGAAGTGAATAAATTTAAAGATTATTTCTACTGAAAATTAGGAGAAAATATATATATTGACATTAAGTTTCTAATAAATTGTTCGGATTTTAATGAAAACAAAACACATTTAGTGTTTTATTTCTGGAAATATTTGAAAAAAATTTATCCTTAAAGGACACATGCACCCCAAAAAAATGAATTAAATAGCCATTGTGCATCATATAAAAAAACGTTTTAAAAAAGTCAAAAGAGTTATATTTGTCAGCATGTTATTCCTAAATTACTAGTAACTTGATTGATTTGGTTATGATTAACCCGTTTTTTAGAAAGAAGTTACATATTCCAATACTGCTTCTTTTGTCTCTTTTACAAAAGTATCTTTGACAGCTACATGTATAGAATAAAGAATAGAAACGGGGAATGTGTCAAAGCGACAACAACCCAACCAAAATATACATTCAAGTCAACCCAAGGCCACCAATGGGTCTTCAACACAGCGAGAAATCCCACACCCAGAGGCAGCCCCGAGTAGGCCCCGAAACACAATGTACAGTATATCAAGAATATGGACGCCATTCTATGCTCCAAAACATGTAGATGAACCAAAATTAAAACATATACAAGACCAACAAAGGCTAGAGGTTCCTGACTTAGGACAGACGCAAAAATGCGGCGGGGTTAAACAGGTATTATGAGCACTCAACCTTCCCCCTTCACCTCTAGCCAATGTAGACATATATAACTTAAACGTCCACAATTTTGAGTGCCACTGCCAAAGAATAAATTTTGGGGTCCCTAACAAATATTGCCTCTGCAGCTGCCACAAAGAGTCCAATCTTAACGAAATCTGCAGAAGGGGTCTTTTACATATATGTACTATAGTTTAGTTGCTATCTCCCTTTACGTTTAATATGACGGTGCTAGCAAATGAAATTTAATAATAATTAGAATACAAGCCATCCGCTGTATTTCAAAAGGCTATCTGTTTCTTCAGAAAATAACCATACTTTGCGTAGTGATCCATTCATTTTTTTTACACGAGACTCAGATGAAGTCCAAACAACAAAAAGAATCAACAATACTGTGTACAATTCCATAAGCAATCATCATTCAAAAATGTTAAAGAGGTACACCAAAAAATTAAAATAGCTTTCCCCATTTTCACGCAAATCTAATTTTGTAACTCGCAACTCGCAACTCGACTTTCGTAACTCGCAACTCGACTTTCGTAACTCGCAACTCGACTTTCGTAACTCGCAACTCGACTTTAACTCGCAATTCGACTTTCGTAACTATCAACTCGACTTTCGTAACTCGCAACTCGACTTTTGTAACTTGCAACTCGATACTCGACAACAAGTGAATCTCCATTATATCATGAATATATGTACATATATATATAATATATATATGATGCTTGTATTAGAGTATTGATATTAAAATATTGAGCATTATTAAAAATGTCTCTTAAATTTGTTATTCATGATTAATTTCAGTGTTCTCGTGTCCAGATCTCCTAATCGGCAACTTACAGAATTCCATTAATATAACCGGTTACCACATCAATGACACAGTTAATATTCACTGTAAGGTGGGCTATACATTATCAAGTGTTGGAACCCTACTTTGCTTAGTTAACGAAAATCATACAAAAGGAAGGTGGAACACGACACAACCAAGCTGTAATAGTAAGAAAATAAACTTTAAGGTAGAGGGGGGTCTAAATTAAAATGCATAGATTTTTTTGATAATTTGTCAAAATGTAGTTTATATCATCTTTTTTAAAATATTATAAAAATTGTTGTTCAGCAACTATTTTCACGCTACAGGTTGTGCTAAATTGTCACATTTTGTATAGATTATGCATGGAAAACCCAATTGTGTGTGAAATAAAGAAAACTACACCATAGAATTTTAAGATAGCGTATGAGAAGATAGCTCTAATAATGTGCTTTCAGATAAGAAAAAGAAAAATTGAGGTCATCAGACTCGTTTTCTTGCTACAATTCACAACACATAATACTATAAAAGTAACTTTATTTGAGTTATCCACCCTTATTTGGCAAAGTTAAAAAAAATGAATAAAACAAAAATAATCTGTTTTTCGTAAAATGCAGCCATAAAATATGATAAAACACATAATGTTCTATATTAACATGAAAAGTCTTACATACGAAACATACTACTCTCGAAATTTGCACATTTCATTAAAAATCTAGACCGATTTTTATCTGCTATTTCAAAATCCAAGATAGAGGAAGACACCCCAGATATCTCACATCATATAGACCCACGATTCATACCCCAACACCAGGACGACTGGATAAATCAATCCATATACAGTCACGTCTCAGTCCTTACAACTGAAAAGACGTGCTGGATCATCTCCTGATTATCCGTTAGCTAAAAGATGTTACGCTGCTCAGATGGTTCAACGACAAACTAGTTTATGAGGCTCTCGTACAATAAACCCGCGTCAGCGACACTCTGAAAACCATTGTGGATGGGTGAGTGTCATATGCTGCCCAGACGTCCGAAAGCTAGCTGTATCTTAGTTTTTGTACAATTGCAGTCATCTACTACGGAGTCAATGATTCATCTACCAGCCACACATCATCGTGGTTAGCGGGCTGACCAGCTGATCAACCTGGCCCTGAAAGCAGCCGTTGTTGAGTTCATACTGCAAAGAAACATCAAAATAGTAAAAAACCAAAACAACCCACGTAAACCAAGATGGCCGCCTAACAAAAACTTCGCCTTCCGCCTGTTCCTGATCTGCAACAGAAAATATGTAATATCAACAATCGCCTCCGGGCACGAGCCGACCGTGCGAGGGCTGTATATCCAGTCAAGGTCGTTAATAAACCCCCATCATGAGATATCTTACATGAGATTAATTCCTCATGAAATTAATAATACTTTTTGTACGTTTTTTTTTTCTTCTTCTTTTTTTTTTACTTTAAGGTGTGTACATAAATCAGTTTGCCTTGGTACCTTAATGAATGTTTGATATAAGACTGCGAGTATGACAACTAGAAATCTTTCTTTTTTATAGAAATCACATGTGGCAAAAGTTTCCTTCATCTTGTGAAAAGTCAAATTATTCATGATATTCGAGATACTTATAATTTTGGAGATATTGTAAATATTTCTTGCAATGCTGGTTATATGGGACATGCAAAAAGGACACAGTGTGTCAATATTAACAAGTGGTCAGAAAGAGGACCAGTCTGTGAAGGTGAGTAGTTCGCTTTGTACTATTTAATAATGACGCTTATAAATCGAAGATATTATCTTTTTATTGGTGGTATGTGAATACATCTTATTACAACTAAATACTGATTTTTATTTATAGCGCAGTTGCTATATTCATAAGAAATAAAGGTTTATAGGAATTTTTACAATTTGATTACTTTTCATTTTAAGTATAGATAAAGGCAAAAGTGTGAGCTTTTGATTTTGCCATTTGATTACGGACTTTCCATTTTGAATTTTCCTCGGAGTTCGGTATTTTTGTTATTTTACTTTTTATACCGCTGTTCATTAGTTATAAACAGTAGGATACCGCTGTTCAATAGTCATAGACAGTAGTTATCCGCTGTTCAATAGTCATAAGTCGATTAAGCGAAAACAAATCCGGGTCACAAACCAAAACCGAGGGAAACACATCAACTATAAGAGTAAAACAACGGAACAACAGAAACAACGAACTGCAACAAAAACAAACGCCAACATACATAGAAACGGACTATTTGATAGCAACTGCCATATTCCTGACTTGGTACAGGACATTTTATGATACAATGGTGGGTTGAACCTGGTTTTATGGCTAGCCAAACCTCCCGCTTATATAGCAATGTTAAAAATACCGTTTAAATGACAACATTACGTGACAGGAATACAATACAATTAAACGGAAGAACACTCAGAACAGAGAAAAACATAAATAATTAATATAATAGTACATTACAACATGTAACCCACAGAATAACAACGGACACCTCCCATGCATTTACGACAGTACACCAGGACACCACAATGGAATATGCGATAATCGTACATCTATGACAACTTTAGAGAAAGTGCCATAAAAACAGAGTTTCTCCCAAAAATACGAAAAAAATCATAACGATAACCAATATACGACACATCGTTCATTTCCGTTCCGTTCATGCGTAATACTCAACCTACTGTAGTAAACGAAGTATGGAACGAACGAATATGAACTCTGCGCACGAGGATAAACAATAACTTCATATTATAATTGATTTCTTTAAAAAAAAGTGTTAAGTTTCTTTCTCTATTATCAAAATTTCCATAAAGGCAAAACAAATAATAATTCTTTCCCATGGAGTTTGCAAGTAACGATAAATATCAATAGCAAATTATTCGCACAATTACTGCATCGATGTGTTTAAGACCGACATTTACAATTTGGACTACATGTATATCCGAATAGCTCATTCAATAATTGTATTTCAGAAATTTTTAATGATTTGAAATTCTAAACAAAATCACGCGAACTAATGATGTTTATTGTAAATTAAGCTAAGATCCATATAAACCTTTCAATAAACTCATTCTTAAAGTCAGATGAATCGAGTGTTTTGGTAATTACAATGTTAAGGAAGTAATGAACCATTACATGCCTATATACTAAATTAAGTCCTCTGTGTTTATTTGGTTATCTTAACCTAGTACAAAGTATCAGTGTGAGATTTTCACATCACATGGCGTCCGCCGTCTGTAGTCGTCGTCCGTTATCTGTCGTCGGACGTTTACGTTTAAAATAAATTTCACCTCTGAAATGAGCGGACTATATTTATCAAAACTTGGCCACACTCATCATCGGAGTATCTAGTTTAAAACAAATATGTTCTATGACCCCGCCTGCCAACAAGCATGGCAGACATGGCTAAAAATAAAACAGAGCGGTAAGATTCAAGCTTTGTCTATCATCTAAAATATCTGATAGGACAAAAATGTTCAGAATGTTGAGATCTACCGACTGTTCATCTACATCAAAATGGTCAAACGATTTCTTATAGGAAATCCCTATACATGACAAATTTTACCATATATTTTTTCCATTTTTGCCTATCTTGAAAATAATAATAGATAGACAGAAACTTTAAATGCAAAATGATCAGCAAGACGAGATCTTCAAATAAGTAACATGGCAACAATTGTCGCCTTGTTGAAGTCATTGCGCTTTCAACTTAGCCATTTAGAACCCTTGATACAATTGCTTGCTTGTAAACAATTATCATCTATTAAGGAAACGGAAGCCCTGGAATATTGTTTCAACTAAAATATATATACCCCATATGTAAGCGCTTATGAAATGTTGCTTCATAGAAATGGATAGCTCCAAACTTAAGAATTGAAATCATCTTTATTGTCGAGAAGTTAAGTTCTCAACCGACCTCCGTTGTAAAATTTTAGATGAAAGTATAAAGATATAAGGCAGAACAAAATGTATCTGTGGTATCCCTTTTTGTCAAGTGAAGTGGGATTGATGCAGTCAACATAGTCACAAAACTCTAAATTTTTCAGTGAAATTCATCATCTATTAAACGGAAGGTGAAATGTATGGAAAATTCCTTTTTAATTTTCTTTAGAAGCTTCTGTATTGAATCTGCCTCATAAAGATATAGGAACTAGTCAGCAAGCAGAGGGACACATATATAAATCCGGATTGTATGTTGAAAAACATTGCATAAAACATTACACACAAAACAATAAACATAGTATCTATAACCATAGAAACCTTGTTGTATTTTGAGAAAAACGTCTTCAAAACGTAGCAAATATGTTGTCAATGAAAACAACCTAGCATTTTGAAGATGTTAGTTTCAGGGAATTTTCTGCTTGAATACTAGTAGTTGTTTTATTTTACAGCGAACTATGTATCCGTTCTTAAAACAATATACCTGTATTTGCATTGACCGTCTTGTTTTATCATTTTCATGGAACTAAGATTTTCAATTTACAACGGGGAATTAGAGAAATAGAGAAGTCTGAAGCTTGATTTTTGATGTGATAGATGTTATTAGTTAGTAATGAGGTTTCGATGAGTATTTGGCAATGTTTGGGTAGTTGTGTTTTTTAAAATTCAACATTGTATTTCAAATCTTGCTGTGTTATTAAAAATTTAGTAGTGATGTTTTCACGTCTATGTGTTATTTTTTTGCGTTTAAAATACAATTTTTGTCTATGGCGTGTCAAATAATTATGCCATGGCGTTGTCAGTTTGTATTCGACTTGTGATTTTGAATATCCCTTTAGTATCTTTCGTCTCTCTTATTCACAACATTTGGTGCAATTGTGATGATTGGAAATATTGAACTGTTTCGTTTTATCAGTATAATTGAGTGAAACCCCGACATGGTAGGGATGGTTACATTTGAAACATGAATTGGGTTTACAAGTATTCCAGATGAAATGATAATATTATAACGAATAAGGGAAATCACTGCAAACTCTTGTTTCTGTAACACTGCATTAATTTACCGAACTTGACCCGAATGAGGTTTTCAGGTTATATATTGCACTGGCGACAGTCAGGTGACCAGGGATCAAATTCCTAAAGTGCTTTTAGTAACATAATCCTTTCTTTTGACATTTTATTAATATAGTTTACTTTAAATTTACAGTTATAACATGAACATTTCATTGATCATTGTATATATATATTTACCCTCATGCGAAGGGAAAACATTCGGATACTAGTATTTGCTAGATTCTTTGTGAAAGTATATGAGAAGATATAATGGGACATTCAAAATTGTAACAAAACTAGAAAAAAAACATTTCCATAAGAAAAAATACCAAAACTCAAATAACATTGCATAAACCATTACACAGAAAACAATAAACACTATATAATATCAGGAACAATAAAAAAAAACAGATGATCCGGAAGGGCTCGCAAGGGTAAGTAGTTCCATTTCAAAAAGTTGCACCTGTCCTATTGCACGCAAAAAGGAGACGATTACCCTATGCATGCACCCAGTCTCGCTCCTTTTTGAGTTCATGCGATTTTCTCAGTGTTTATGCCCCCGCCGAAGTCAATAGGGGGGGGGGCATTAACTGTTACCCTTGACCATCTTTGTTTCCGCACTCTAACTTAATTATTCCACATCTAAATTTTATGAAACTCATACACAACGCTAGAACAAAAACTTGCAGTTAGAGTTCAAATTTGGGCAGTGAGTCACTTACCGTTCTAGAGTTATGCTCCTTTTATAACTTGGAAAATTGATTTTTTTTTCGTTTTCTTACTCTGACTTAAGTTTTACTCATCCAAATTTTATGACTCATTCACAATGCCAAGATTTTCAGACAGAGTTCGAATTTAGGCAGTGAGTCATTAACCGTTCTAGAGTTATGCATCTTTTTAACTTGGAAATTGGCAAAGCTAGAGCGGGGGCATTCGTGTTCTCAGACACATTCTTCTTTTATTGTTTGTTAATATGACTTGTCTTTTTAAACGATTTGAACATCGTGAAACTACTGTTGGCTTTATGTATGGCCAATTGCAAGTATGAATTCGTTGATAAGTCGCGTTCGGTCACTATCGGAGACATCCCTAGTTCCATGTTGAACATTTCCGTGGTCATCTGTGACACAAATTTTTCACAATGAGCTACGTATATACCACATTATGATTGCTTCCACACCGTTTTGGAGGGATAACTTCAACTATACCATTTGGAGACTTTGGTTTACTTGAATACCTTAGAAAAAGAAGCAACAAGGGGACAAGTGTAAGAAAATAGTTCTGAAACGATATATATATTGTACAATGTATACAATGGTGCACAATACTAGAATACTACTTAAAGCTATTTTCTTAAATGTCGCTAATATTAATTTCAACATGATATTTCTTTTATTAAGGTGTTCCTTGTCCAGGCCTCAATAAAACTGATAATTCTGAGCTCCCTAAAAAGTTAAGTGGATACAGATTTCAAGATGCGGTAACATTCAAATGCAACCAAGGTTACAAATTATCAGGAAATGCATATCTGATTTGTTTAGCAAATGGTCTTTATCCATTTGGAAAATGGAATGGTGTTCAACCAGTTTGTACAGGTCAGAATTTCTTAATACTTCTATAAGTTTAATTAAAAAAAAATATATAAAAATAATAATACAGGAGCCTGTAGTTCAGTGGTTGTCGTTGATTCATGTCTGTCATATTTGTTTTTCGTAAATTGTTTTGTTATAAATTATGTCGTTAGTTTTCTCAATTGAATTGTATCATATTTTTCATGTCCGGGCCTTTTATAGCCGGCTGTACGGGATGGGTTTATCTCATTGTTGAAGGCCATACGGTTGCCTATAATTGCTTACATCCACTTTATTTAAACTTAGGAGGATAGTTGTCTCATTGGCAATAATACCACATCTGCTTATTTTTATAATGAATAAACGATATATATAGATAAGAGTGAATATTCCTCAACTCAAATAAGGACTCAAAATAAAATGCAAAGACTTTAAGTGTAGCTGAAATGGTAATTATTATAAATTTTTAATCCCGCCACATTTAATTTTCCTGTTTTAAGTAACCAATCTTGTTAGGGGTTATCTTACATGTAAGTATATCTTAATGTTTTGTCGTTTGGAGTATTGGGTGATGATCGTAGATTCGAGATAATCTTTGCCGATATAATCTAGGCTCTTAAGAGATAATATGGTGTATAACATATACATCGACACTTATCTATTATTTTAATGAAGACCGTCTGTGATAAGGTAGTATGCTTGCCAATGAGACAATCATACACCAGACAGCAAATGACGTGGAATGTAAGACATTATTATCCATTCTCGTGTATCTTTCATTGACTTCTGCAATTTATTCGATGTAAAAAATTACTTTTGACAGTGGTAGGCGTGTCCTAATTACATGCAGACTGCGAGTATTGAAGTGTCACAAATTTATTAATCAACAAAAGTTATTTAACAATTCACGTGGGTTTCCAGTTTTCCTATTAACATTTTCGTCTATTTCTTATTTTTTTATAATATTTCAAACCATGTTTAAATTTGGTTGGTAGCACTATTTCCCTCAGTAACCATACTTTTGACAGAATGGTAATATTATGGTAGCAGTTGGTCCTACATGCAATGTTTCAGATAATCTTTATTTATTGTTATGTCAGGTTGTATGATAATAGGGTTACTAGTCATTATTTTGAATCATAAATATATCCTTTAACACAGTTTGGTACCATTTAGTCCTTCACATTACTTCAAGAAAATTTTAACGCTGTTTTCTTCAATTTTCTATTATAAGAATAATTGAAGGCTATGTGTGTGAAGGAAGGTAATAATAACATTTATTTTGTTAGTAAAAAAGTTATCATGACTTTATTATCCAATTTATTATTTTTAAATTTGGCAGACATTCGCCTCCAGGTTTATAAAAAGAAAGAAATTCGGCGATATGTCAAGAGACATTATTTTTTGTTTTAAGAAATAGATAAACTTTTATATTACACGAGGATTTCAGAAATATTTTTTTGAAGTTATTTAGCTTGGTAGTTTTTATTTCAACCGTAGGAAACCCTTATCCAATATTTAGACATGTTTAGACAAGTATCCCTGCTTCATTGTTTTTGTATTTCGTCATAGATTTGTAACCTATTTAGTTTCAATATGTTTCAACAGTGGATAAATAAAGATAAAACAAGGAAACATGTTATGTAAATGACAATGCGTTATTCCATCAGTAAATGCATGATACAGATACCATGTAAAGACCCATTTACCATAAGGAATGTCATATATTTTATATATCCAATTGTACAATTTATAACTTTATTTTAGCTGAAAACTCGAGCGAATTTCCCGCGGCAACTGTAGGTGCTGCTGTGGGATCAGCTTTTGCAGTCATTTTGATATCCGTGACCATAGTCATCATAATCGTTCGTAGGTAAGATATACGTGTACAGGGAAAAGGTTCATACAGTAGAAATTACACAAAAAAACTTTTAAAATCACTTAATGGTATGATTGCCAATGAAACAAATACCAATGGACGAATGAAGCAGATTTAAGCAACTATATGTGCATCACATGGCTTTCAACAATGAACCAAACACATACCGTGTAGTAAACCATAGAACACGTTATCAAATATGACAAGACAGCAACCAAAGGCAACACCTAAATTGCAGGCTATGTGCCCGTTCTGATTTCGAACGGACACGAACAGAATGTGGCGGGGTGCGACATGTTTGCTAGTGCTCAGCCCTCCCCTGACTAATCAAATCAGCACGAAGCACAAAAATCAACTTACAAAAAGACAAAAGACACAAAAAAAAAGAAAGCTAGTTCATATCCAATAACGACTTATAAATAAATTCAGTAGAATAACAAAATTAATTAAAAAGTAAACTGTTTTAGAAGAAAACAAGATCAGAGAACTGCTAAACGTACAGTTTACAAAGAAACTTCATCGGAATTTCGGAATTGGGGTGAAGAGAAAAGTATACGTAGTAAAACAGGTAACTACTAGTATTCTAAATTTTTTTCCGTAAAAGCATTTTACTTTCAAAGAATGAGGAAGTGATGAAACTCGATGAATATATACCGAAAATATCAAAAACAAAGTTTGACTTTGTTATAGAAACATTATCGCCTGGACTTCAGTAAGACATGAGGGTGCCAGTTTGACAGTGGATGGTAAATTCTTTTTTTTTTATTTGAAAATAAAATTTAACGCCTTTCATTCCGACCAATCAACTTACAGTAATTCACTGTAAATGTACTTTTATTCGTGGGTGTCAATTTTCGTGGTTTGACCAAAAGTTACATGTTCGTGGGTTCTTAAATTCGTGGATTTTAGTTTTCTGAAAAAATCGAGTGAATAATTTGTAGCCATCAGAAACTAGGATTCTTGAAATTAAATCATATGTTGTTTTATAATGATTTGTTGAACATTGCAAAATAAGAATAAGGTGTCCATCCATTCATCCATTGATTAACCATCAAGATGACCTCCGAAGACTGCCGATGGTCATATAAACAGATATAAACATAAATTTAAATATAAATAGATAACGACCAAAAGGAATTTGATTTTTCTATGTCTGTTTAATTTCATATTATTGGTTCAAATATATGTTAATCATCGATTTAACTTGTATAAGAATGATTTTTTGTGGATCGAATCAGTCAACAAAATGGTTCACCCCTGTGTTTTACTTTCAATGTTGACATTATTTTCCTTTTTAAATAATAGTTAAACACGCCTAGTACATGCATAACCTATCTCGAGCTAAGGGGTTAGACTGAAGATTACATGAATACGAATTCAATTGAGGTTAAATTATTCTCTTGTAAGTAATTAATACATCAGCGATAATTTTAGATTAATTTGACAAATTTGAGACAAACTGACTGCTTTTAACGAAATATTGCTTCAAAATTCCACTTTTATTAATACTTGAAACAAAAAGAATAGTATTTTGATTTTATGGGGTCTAAATCGTAGCTATTGCCCCTTCATGCTAAAAATAATCAATCATTCGTTTATGGTTTATCTAATAAGGGAGATTAGTTTTCAATTTCTGATGTTAATGAATAGAAATATATCCACTGTAATTTGACTTTTTTTAAAATTTTCAGTAAGGTATTTGATCTTTATCAAAGTCATATGATCTTTCTAATTTAGAAAAAAAAGATGAATATGTTTTATATACTTGAACGGATAAGTTTCTTATAATTCGCTAATTAATGAGAGAGAAAAAACATTCCTTTCCGTTTGAGAAATGTGCAGATTTTTTGTCCCCCACCCCCAAACAATTTCTCGAGTGTAATATTTCTTGTATTGTGTATTGTAAATAGCAAACTTTTTTTTGGTAAACAAAACTTTATATCATCTCGAAGCAAGACAAATAAATGTAAACGATAAGACTCGGGAACTCTCAAATATATAAACTTAATTGGTTTATGTTTTATAGAATGTTTGCTTTTAACTTGGTGCATTCCTTTTAGACCTTACAAGTTCAATAAATGCCGAGTCGAAAGTCACTACTTCCAAGAATAATGATACACCGTACTACAATGACAAAGATGGAGAAGGATATTACAGCTTCACATTAGATAAACAGATTCCCAAAAGTGCTATTCTCGTGAAAGATTTCTTTGATTACGTTGAAAATGGAAGAGAAACTGAAGGGAAGATAGAGTTAGAATTCCTGGTCAGTATTTCATGTAAAATTATCTTGATATAAGTAGACCCTAGTCATTTGGTAGGACGATCTGGGATAAAGCAAGAATCGTCATCGTAGTCAATAAACATGTATCATAAACATAATAAGATATGAAATAAAACAGAGGGCGATTGAATCATTATTGTAATGATATTGTTAGGTAATTTGAAAAAAGGCATTATCTAGATTATATAAATCTTAAAACCCGTCTATTTACAATAAAAAGAAATAGTATACTATTGAATACAATCTTCATATAAATAGTCTTTGCCACTGAATTTCTATTTCGAAAAGTAACTTAAAACATTCATGGTAAATATCATTTGTCAAGTTGAGAATCATTGACAAAAATTGTAAAAAGAGGTTTTATTTTCATTTCATGTATTAAAATCTGTACACAGATGTAACTGAGCAATGCACAAGTCCTAATTTCTTCAGACTGTTCTTGAATGTGCTATATGAAATCATCTTGAGAGCACAACGGCTTTAATTAGCTTTTAATAAATCATAATTTAATTTTGATCAGAAAGTTTTAACCAACAAAAATTAATTAGTAGATTTTCATCCAGATTTTTATAACCAGATATAAACAAAAAATATAAATATAAATAGATAACGACCACAAGGAATTTGATTTTTCTATATCTGTTTAATTTCATGTTGTTGGTTTAAAAATATGTTAATCATCGATTTAAGATAAGAATGATTTTTTGTGGATCGAATCAGTCAACAAAATGGTTCACCCCTGTGTTTCACTTTCAATGTTGACATTATTTTCCTTTTTAAATAATAGCTAAACACGCCTTGTACATGCATAACCCAACTCGAGAATTAATTAGTAGTTTTTCATCCAGATTTTTGAAAAAAATGGAGCGGTGGGAGGATTTTTTTTTTTTTTTTTATTTCCTCTGAAACCCTTTTGTAATGTGTTCTTCATATGCAAGGGTAATAATAAGCTTTTATTATGTATATATCAGGAATTCTACAAATGTACATAATTTTTCAAATTCTTCAATAAATATTTCTGATTGGCAACAACTGTTCTAAATGTAATTGCTGCTTTAGAAACCTATTTTCAGTAAATAAAAAAAACGTGGAGGAATGCTCTCTTTTAGACTACCTACATCAAATGAATGTATTTTTCTTTTTAAGCTATGGTTTGTAGTGCCCACAAAATGAAGCATATGCCGTGGTATTTTAACATAAGTATTATGAGTGCAGAGTGAAATGAAAACTTAAGCTGTGTTGAAAATACTAGGGTTGATGCTTTTAAGATTCTTATGCAAGGTGCAAAAAAATCAGATAATTACAATGTAAAACATGAACTTAACCAAAAAAAGAAGGTGTTTAGTGACTCTAATGAGGAGCTGAGGACAGATGGTGTTTGCTGTTTGTCAACAACAAACGACAGCCTTTGGGGTAAATCTAAGGGGTTGCTATAATACGATTTGTACGTTGGCCGACTTTTTGTACTCAATATACTGTCATGAATCGCACATGTTTGTGCTAGTGTCAATTTCTTTATTCCAACAGTGGCGGATCCAGGTGGGGGTGGGTTCCGGGGGTTGGACCCCCTTTTTTGACGATCAATGCTTTTGAATGGGGACATATGGTAGGAACCCCCCCCCCTTTTTATCCTGTGTGTGAACCCCCTTTTAAAAATGGCTGGATGCGCCCCTACCCAGTCATGTTTTTTTGTACCAATGTGTTCCACGATTCTTACGCTGTGGGTATCATTTACAGTCCAAATTTCCTAACACAAAGTCATTCTATACACAAAAATAATCCACGGTTTTCTAAATTCACTGAAATTTGTGACATGCAGCGAAATTTGCGTTCTAAGACACCGCCTATTACTCGTAATTCGAATATGTCATGCCATTCCCGTAATCAATCTCTATTCTCGGAAGATAATGCTATCATCATTGAGCAGCAGAATATGTTACTAGACGAAATACGAAAACCGAAATTTGCAGCAGGAAGTTTTGAATGAAACGAAACTATCGGCGGTTACTGGTTACGGAAATAATAAAAATCCGGAAATCGTAAATTTTTGAAGAAAACAAATCGGGTTGGGACGATTTCAGAGGAGCGGTTGGAGATGAAAATCTGTCGATTAATTTTAATTGACCTTAATATGTTGTGGAAGTTTAAACGGTGTAATATAAAATTGCTTTGTTTTACCAAAGATATAACTAGGTCTTTGTCGTCTGTAACGCCGATATCATTAAATTAGCAATAGAGATGTTACCACATGTAACTTGTTCGTTTTGTGCATTTTGCTCTGAACATCAAGCTGTTCCAATGTTCGATACAAAAAAGGTAGGGTTGCTAGTTTTCTACTTTTAATGTGCCCGTCCGAATTCTGGTAACACCAACAGAAGCTGTTCATATTATGTCGTCCCTTATTTGTTATGGGTGAACATGACAAAAACAGATTCGAAAAAAAACAACAAATAAGCAAATAAATCGATGAACCACGTTTTTATTTAAACTACTAGTATATATCCCAGTAATTTTTAGTTGTTCCATTGATCTCGTTACAATCAGGGGCGGATCCAGGATTTTGGAAAGGGGGGGCGTAGTATTTAAAGTTCGCCGAGCGGAGCAAAGCGAAAATTTTTTTAGACCTTTTTTGGGGCTAAAAAACATAAAATAAGTGTAAAATGCACATTTTTAACGGTTCCTGACGTGGGGCATGTATATTTTATAGTTAAAGTGTAAGCTAGGGTTGGACATTTTTGATGCCGCATTCTCCCCATTAATTGTCTATTATAAAATGACTGAATGGATCCAAAGCTATGTACAATAATATATTTGATGTGGGATTTGTCAGTAAAAAATGGACATGGACAATTCTCGTTTGTTGTATGGTTAGTTAGCATAACCTCACAGATTTCTGTAAACATGTATGATGATATGCGGCTATTCAATGAAGTTTATAATACGACCGACACGAACAAAGACAAACAAGCATTTTTTATCCAAATGTTTGGTTGAAATGTTTCACCCAACAAGGGAAGTGAGGGGTCCCAAATCAACCAAAGGCTACGAATGAGTCTGAAAATCAAATGACAACGAAGTTGTGAATGACGGTCGACAAATGGAGACATAAAGGCCACACCCAGCAGGCAGGTTGCAGTTGGGCCTTGAAAAAAGTATTCAGTATATCAGTTCGGCGAAACAGACATTTCGGTCAGATATGGGATTTACATGCAAACCCCCAAAAAAATTTACGCCCGTTTTTTTATTCACCATGTTCATTTAATGCTGAATAATTCTGTGGGATTTTTTTTTCTGATAGCAAAAAGGGGACACGAGAATTGTTTTCAATACAGATACGGCCAGAATTTTTGTTTAAGGCAAAAATCAGGGTCAGAATTTTTTCTCTAAAATATCTCAGACTGCCCTATCAAATCAAATGGTCCGTACCTTAGACTTTAAATCTATCTAGAGCTAACTGACTGGGGATCACTATTCAGCAATGTTATTAATTGGCTGGGGCGTCTTTGGTTAAACATATTTTTGTAGGTAAATAATATTGCTGTGGAACTTTTTTTTCATGAGAGTGTAATAGAGTATTACTTTCTGTTTAGTGGAATTGTGAAATAGAAGTCAATACGTGGTTCTTGTTCAATCCTTTGTCGCTTTGAAAGAGTCATTTTTGTCATCCTCCGCTGTAAGCAATGTGTTACTGTAATTTAAATTTCAAAATCACTGAGTGACGTTTTTTTCGACGTACTGATCAACTCCACCGTAGCGAATCACATGACTTTGACATAATCAATAATATATTACAGTAAATACGAGCGAAAAATATCTTTATAAGTAAAGAATTGTCGCATAAAAATTAAATACACGGCCGGGTAATGGCAAAGTTCACGAAGTCTAGTCTGATTAATCATTTTACAAAAAAAAAAAAAAAAAAGTTCATGCAAAGGGGGGGCGTACGCCGTCTACGCCCCCCTCTGGATCCGCCACTGACAATTGAACACTTATCTGATAGTAATAGATTATTTTGTAGACATTTAAGAATGGTCTGCAGAAAGCAACACTGGCCGCTCTAAAACCTGGGAATAAAGCTAAAAATAAATATAAAAATATGTATGCATGTAAGTACAACTCCTTTAAACAAGTAATAGTTTATATGTCATATCATATATTAATTTTTTGCACAACTCTACATGCTACATGTATGAATATATATCTGGTTAATTCTTATAGATATTTAAAAGAAATGTTGATTACTTCGTTTAGATAATTTTCATCATATCACCTGCGATTCATTTGCTGTTAGTGTATTGTGGATACGAATTTGTTTTAAATTAGTTGTCAGTGATACAAAATGCGAAATAACTTTTCACAGTTAAGTTGGCCCTGTACGCACGTACATGTATCAACAAATCTCGTATAAATAATAGTTGAACATTCTGTTAACTCAAAAAATTGTTAGTATATAGTGCAAATAGGATATGAAAAAAAACCTCGGCATTTCTGTTGAATATGAAACATCTATAGATGATAGTCAACGATTATTCTTACAAAGACGTGCGGTTGTTTCATAAAAGGATACAATAACTAAATAAACAAAAATAAAAATGATGCAACAACATAAAAAAGGAAAGAAATAAAATAACAAAAAACAATAATATGATCATTAAATGTTTCGGTTAACAATTATCCTTTTCCGTGCCATTAGGTCAAAATTTCATCAAAATATTTGTAAGGCCTTTTAGAGTTAATGTTCAATTTTTAGACGTACATATATGTGCAGTATAATTCTGGCAAATTTCTACCCTACTCAGGTTTAGATTACCGTAACTATATTTGGCAAAACCTTTCGGAATTTTAGGTCCTCAATGCTCTTCGGCTTCGTACTTTATTCTGATCTTTAAATGTGTTGGTTCTAGCGTCACTGCTGAGTCTCTTGAGGACGAACACGAGTCTGAAGTACTCAAAATTTTAATACTGGTATTTATGATGAGTTTATATACAATAATTAAAACAGATTGTGATGAGTCAACTAATAAAATATAAAAATAAATGAATATACTTTTTACTGTAGATGATGAAACACGAGTTATACTTGATGTTGTTGAAGGATCACAAAACTCCGACTATATCAACGCGTCGTTCATACATGTGAGTTGATTTGATATGTTTATGTCTTGATCATTTTTGGGAGTTTATGTGTGTTCATTTGAAGTTTTACGGCAAACCAATAACAACAGTATACTTTTATTTCAGAAATTTTCCACTAGACGTTAACCAAGCTTTAATTAAAATCAACTAATATCATTTAGAAATACAAGGAATATACATGTTACATTCACAATATTTACAAATCGATGTCATGATCGACTAGGAATATACTCAGACAAGGCTGTAGTTAAATACTGAATTTTTAACTCATAGCGTTTAGATTTTTGTAAGCAGTCAGAAAGGTAGTAATAGTGCTTCCTCTTACCTCAGGAGTTTGCTATGAATTCGTATTACCTAGTGTATAAGTCTTTTTGTGTATTACATACATTCACGTCTGTTGTTATGACCTACACATAGGTCTGCTGGTTTGTTTGTAGTATTTTTAAAGAGAGGATGGATTTGCTATTATCTGTTATATGGAGATTTGGTTTTTATGGGAAATCTTTCTGTTCATTCACCATTTTTTTCCGACTAGCAACGATTTAGAGCTTGGTATAATGTATAGACACCTGTATCTTGTTAAAGTCTTCATAGTGGCGTCTGCATCTTTTGGTTGCTTAATTATACGTTTTATTCAATTCTACTTTTAAGCATGACTTTTTTTTTACTATAGATATATGTTTCATTTAATTACGGTTTCCTCGAGTTTAACCACTTATGATATCATCAAAATGTTTGACTTTTTGATCGACATCATAATTTGTTCAGTTTGATGGATTGAATTTTCAACAGACAGTCGGGATACCGATGGGTACTAATTGTGTCCCCTCCTGGCCGACTTGTTTTTCTACTCATATAAAGAATAATTCATAAAAAAAAACTTCTTGAAGACAAAAAGACAAAAAACATCTTGCAAAATTTGGTAATTTCACTTTATTTCTTTTTCAGATACAATGTATATTGATAACATCCTGTCACTTAATAAACTATATATTTCAGTGACTGCTTGAATCTCATATATACCAATACACTTGAGATTAAGGATACTACCGCACCTCGAAGGTCTGCTTCATATCTTGATTTTTTTCTCGATATTGACGCAGATGAACGACCTCAAGCTAGAACATATGACAAACGTGATGATTTCAACTTTCAAATTGTCTACCGCCCATTTATAAGCTGTAACATACTCTCTGTCCCATCATATGGCGTTTACATATCTCAGTTGATATGTTACACTCTTCCGTGTTTATCCTATATGGACTTCGTGAGCAGAGGTACACTCCTAACACAACAACTGCCCCAACAAAATTATGAGGAAGAACGACTAAAATCGACATTACATAACTTCGAATTCAAGGTCACCATCACAAATTGGTTGACCGATACGATATGTCTGTGTCTCAACTCAAAAGTGACAGGCATATGTTTTCGCAGTCGTAGATCTTTTACCAAATTTGTCCTATTCCCGATTGTGGCATTTTGACTGAGTGTCTATTCGCATGGCGGGTGATGCATGCATAGCACGACACGCTTACCTTGTCGACGCACCCGGTTCGTTCTTTCGGAGTTCATGCGATTTCCTCACTTTTTGTTTGTTACCTTGATTTGTCTCCTTAAGGATGTTCGCTCCTTTTGTTTCAGATTTTTTTGCCAGATATTCGGAATCCACTGGTTTTATCCATGTAGTGCCATTAAACATTTTGCCCACTAACCCATACTTTTCTTTTCATAATTTTATTACTTATAGTTTTAAAAGCCATATTTGAAAATCTTATAAAATCCTTGTTATTTTTTCATTGATTTTGAAAGAGAAAAGGTGCCAATGTCAAATGTATGAAAAATCTAGAGAGAATCATTTCCCGCCAAATTTTCAATGGCTTATATCTCGAAAACAAGCAAACGGACCGTTCATTTTTTTCTGCTTTTTTAGTTCCTTCATTTATATACGATCAACTTATAAAAAAGCTTGTTGTTTTGAAACAGAATAGCGAACATCCTTAATCGATATGTGAGATTATACATCGGTAGCCTATTGTAGCCTTAATTTTTTCTCTTTTCCCTGTTCAAAACATACCAACAAATATGACGAACACTATGTGTGTATTAGTGGAACAGGAACTTGTATGTCATGCGTACTTGTGATTCCCTGGTTTCAAGTGGTATGCTTTTGTTTTCAACCTAGAATGTTTTGTATATTTTGTAGAGTGTTGTTTTTTTCTTACCTCTTTTTCATTAATTCATAGTGTTGATATCTGCAATTAATTAATATACTTTTTTATTATTTGCTTCTATATCTCCCTCCTATAATCTTGGGCCACCATATTCGGCTTATTACCTTTTTGAACAAACAAAATATTATAATAAAACCACACTGAAATTTTAAACACAATACATATCAACTTTTACAGGGATATGGACAAGTTAGAAAGTATATAGCTTCACAAGGTAAGGGCATTTGTAGTGTATTGCCTTCAGTATCGGTTTGCATCCCGATTAACTGTATAAAACAACTCTTATGCTATATTTTCATATCAGAAATATGGTCGGTGGTTTGAACTTTCTATGGATTCATATATCTTGAAATTATCAAACACTTATCTATCGTAAAACGAGACTTCCGAGGCTCTTTTAATTCTCCCTTTCCATCTACTCACTTACGTTGGAAAATGTGAAAGGTAAATTGTTTAAGCTTGAGAGTTTTTTCATTGTATTTATGATATTTTGAAATCCCGATTGTATGCCGTCTTGGTTTTATCTACTTACACCCATCCCATCTCAAGATATGCTGCCGCAGCATTGAAAATTAAGGCCATCTGTTCAATCCCAACAGAAACATAAATGTTTTTACTTTTAAAATCGGGTAAAATTACCAAATTTGGATTTTTTTAGTATCATGTGTATATATAATTTATATAATTGAAGGTAAACATTTCACTCTTCCTCTAAATTCCTTGTACAAGTTCGTGAAACGCAAACAATGAACGCGGCAAAAATTAATCTACCTATTCTTAGTCCTAAACCGCAAACATAATCCGAGCTCAATTTTATCTACATTTTACGATGCTGATACATGTATTAATAATGTTGAAACTTACAGGACCACTGGATAATACTGTGAATGACTTTTGGAAGATGGTTTGGCAGTGTGATTGTGGTAAAATTATTATGCTCACAAATATATTCGAGGAAGGAAAGGTAAATTATGTTTCAACCAGTAATCAATTTCTTTGAAAATAAACTTTATATCAAGCATGTATATATGCAATTTACAAAGACGTGGATAACCATATAAACGTATCTCTGAACAACCATTCAAAAGAAAAGAAAGACGTCGAAAAGACAAAACAAGTCCACAATACACTACATAGAAAACTAAAGACCGAGCAACACGAAAACTGCCATTAACTAGGAAAATTTCGCAATTGTACAAAAATCAATTTTATTGTAATAGAACATTAAGATTGAAAGGAAATCAATTTCTTAGACAGAACGTACATGTAAAAACTTAGAAAGGCTATTATACTTGACAAATGTATTTATTTTTTCCGTTTAACATGGAGTCCATCAATACTGTTTCCGTTTAATTTTAGCAAAAATGTATACAATATTGGCCAGAGGGAGAAAATAAAAAAGCAGTGTTTGGAGGAATGGAAATTCTCTTAATAAAAGAAGAGATTTATTCCGATTTTGTCATAAGAATTATAAAGATGCAAAAGGTATTTAAACTATTTTCTCCCATTTTTTTTTATTATTGTATAATTTTTTCGTTTCGTGTGATTCAATATCAATATTTGCAGTAAACTCTGAAAGAATGCACTGAGCATGCAATGCAATAAGTAAGCCCATTTGAAACGGTCTTTTTTTTTAATTGTTTCCTGTGAAGTGATATTCTTGCACAACTGATTTCTATAATTTAATATAGCTTATAAACATTCTCTTTTTATTAAATCTGAATGTATGTGTAATAGTAAAAACGCCTAATACTTTTTGCGAACCATTGGTGTTAATTTTGGTTGATCTTATATGTAATAACTTTTTTCACATAGCAAATTTCCCATTCGTCATTCAAATTCATCCGTTTATTTCAAAGTCATACCTTCAACCTGTAGCAAACGATCATATTTCACTGAAAGTTCAAGATTACCATTATACACATGTATGTGGATAAAGATAATATCTGCACATTGTAGCGCACAGATTCAGGGTAATATCAAAGATAATCAAGGACAAATAAACAATATTGTAAAAATATAGCCGATAATCTCATTGTAACAGAAATAATACAAACATATAGACAACCAAAGAGTACAGATGTTTTAGATCTTCTAGATAAACTGCGTGTATTTACATTATATTAAAATTTTAGGGAACGGAAAACAAGGTAGTAAAACATTTCCACTATACTGCCTGGCCTGATAAAAATGTTCCAAAATATTCCTCATCTCTAGTTCACTTTAGACACAAAGTCAACAATACCGAGGTGTCATGTACTGGTCCTATGGTTGTTCATTGTAGGTAAGTACGTATAAACAGGGAGTAAGCCGTCTCTTTTATATAGTTAAGTACAAAATAACGTAATAATTATGTATGAACAATTAAACAATTAAACAATATTTTGTAAATGACGCTTAACCAAGATACATGGAAAAAAAGAAGAAGAAGAAGCTAGCAGCCATTTATTACTTAAGTTCTAATAGTTTGCTGTTATTTATTTCTTCATACTAATAGCATGCAAGTCATAAGCTCTTCTATTCCGTATAAAACGAAATGTTTTAACAAAAAAAAACTTATTGATAACCCATATCATTTTGCCTGACTGTGTCTGTCACGTTGTGGAGTGGTAGCAAGCACTGCATGAAAATAATTCATCATGAGGCGATGACGTTTTTTTTAGTTAACTCTGATGTATTATTTGAAATTCTGTGTACTGAATTAACAACAGAGAATTGTTTTCATGTGAACAAATAATCCTCCGACAAAGTATTTAAAAAGAATTCTGTATATTATAATGATACTATTTATTGAATAGCAGTGAAACTTTGAACTGTAATAAACCATGGTTTTTGCAGAGTTGATTTGTCACAGGGAAATTATGATTTCTAAAACTTGCAAGTGACCAGGCTGAACAATGATTGCTAAGATGCGTGCATGAAATTGAAAATACCACAGAGAGAAGCAATTATATTACATATGTTTCCTAGAAACTAAAAAAATGTTGTTTTTTTTATTATTAAATTCCCCATAAACAAAAATCCGACTTGTTCAACAGATTTGCTACAGCTCTTAACATTCGCTATGTGTTTCGCAAATCGTTATGCCAAATATGAAATTGTCCAATTCGCTTTTGATAAAAAATTATACAATTCATGTGTTGACAATTATCTATTTACAGTGCTGGTATAGGACGAACAGGAACATATATTGGTTTAGATTATGTGGTAAATCAAGCTAAGGAATTTGACTATGTGGACGTGTTTGGGTGTGTTGAAGGTTTACGACGACAGAGGGTTAATATGGTGCAAACACAAGTATGTATAGCACTGTATGATTAACATTCAACCAATATCAAGATAATGTAATAACACGAAAACATTTAGTGAAAAATGTATCGGCATCTAAAAGGAATATTTCATCATATTAATAGTTAAATTCTTTTAGATTTAAGCAATGTGGACAAGCTTTTATACTCTTTATAAGCATTTTAAACAATGGTTTGGCTTTAAACAGTATGTGCAGTAATATTTCATTATACATTTTATTTCAACAGAAATATTCAAACATTTTTCTTCAGACGAGATCAACAGTGTTCTTGTTTACCAAGATATAATTACCTTAATTCTTTGATTCCTCTTTACTCCTTTTTTAACTAAAATTTCAAACCAGTTTAAATGGAGATGAGTGATTGCTATCGTATTAGCAATGAAAGTCATCTTCAATATCAGTCATGGTACAGGTAAATCTATCTATTTGATACTTTTTGTAACTCGAGCATTCGTAATTTCTTGATGAGTTGTTTGATCATTTATCGAATATATTCGTATATTAGTTATTCTATATATGCGTATTGCACTTTTCTACATTTGTTAAAACTGCAACTTCACATAATAAGTTCAAAATATTACAAATGTTAGTATCGAAAGAAATTTTTTTGTTCATCTATTTAGTGATACATTTTATAATGAATATAGCAAATTTCAGTTCATATATGTATATGCTCTGTAACGGGCCCTTTAATTGGATTCAATAAATATTCTTATTCTTATTCATATATATGTGTGTTGTACCGATAACGGGGTTTTCAACAACAAACACACGCTGATTTCTTTTTTTTTCAAAATATGTTGCATCAACGTCAAACATTGTTATTTGGGTTTTTTTTCAGCGCCAGTATGTTTTTCTCCATGATGCAGTTTTAGAGGCACTCATGTGCCCAAATTCAGGAATACCGTCTAAGGATTTTCAAGAGGATTACAAAAAACTGTTGGAGTTTGATAGCATTAAAAAGAAAGTCAAATTACGTGTGGAATATGAGGTATATGTTTCTTTCTATTTCATTTTAACTATAAACTTATGCAAAATTCGATTTTAATGCATAAAGTAGTAAGATAACAAATAAAATGAATATGATATGTGTTTCTTTGGATATGTGTTGAAAGCTCCATTTTTGAATAAAACAACAAATTTGTATCGTTTAACCAACCTATTTGAATGTTTTCATTTTTTTCTTATTTAATTAGATTTACTGTCTTACAATGCTGTTTCAGGATTGCAATATATATATATATATAGATACAAATTCCTTTCGCTTTCACGAATGATGACAATGTTCCTAGTCAAATTTAATTGAAATTGACCGAATTGGTTTCATGTTGGTTATGATGCATGAATTTAACCATGACAATCGTGAAAGTATTGCAATTTGTTTTTATCAATGCAAATATAAACGGTATGTATCATTCAGTTGTAAGTTTTTGGTCTTTATTTAAGATGATGAATAAAATTTCTCGGAGACATGACGAAGAAGAGTTTGATAGGGGCAAGTCAGTTGAAAATAAAACAAAAAATAGGTACAGCAATATAATTCCAGGTATGTATATGAAGTAAGTTAAAATCAATGCAAGTTGGAAACGAGGCAGCAAACTAAAGTGTATAAAAATATAAAATAATAGAAAAGGATTCTACATATTGTTGAGTATCTTCTGTATGCGACTGAAAACGAACTTAATCGAGATTACTGTCAAATACATCACCATATGATGCAGTTTTCATTTAAACAGCGACTACTATTTAGGTCGATAATCTGCCAGAAATACTAGTATATATATATATAGTGGACAAAAAGTGAAACAATGATAAAGAGGTACTAGGACGATTATATTAGTTTTTGTTTGTTTGGATTTTAACTAGTTTAGCTCTTCTACTTATACATGTACAGATCAGTTCATTTATAGTTGTTTGCAAACAAATATGTTAATCTATTTTTATTCATACATTACAGTCGGATCCGAAATACCACTTCTATGTACTGTTGTTGAAGGACATAATGAGTACATTAACGCTGTTTTCTTACCTGTAAGTTATTTTTCAATGACCTTCATCTTTACGGGAAAATATGAAAGTATAGATTCTAAATGTGAACTTTACACTATTGGCGTCACGGATAAATATAAATGAAAACTCTACAACCTAACTGTTCTACATGTATATATATACAGTTACATTACACTTTACACATTTCAAATCATTTAAATATATGTTTGAAAAATTGAATGCATACCATGAACAACAAATTTAGGAAAAAGTATTCTTAAGAAAAAAATAATTTTCTTTTAATTTTTTAAAACATAACAGCATTAAAACTGCCAAATAAATACAGTTCTTTTTAAAGTAGACTTTATGAGTAAAAGCAAAGACTGGACTGATGGGAGTTATGCTAATGTGTCTGTGTTGGTTGTCATGCATTTATGTTACCTGTTGAGCATATTAAATTATTCAAAGAAACTATATTTTAATATAAAAGATATTGTCAAACGTGTACTGTAAAATTGTTTTATAACATAGGGCTATAAAAACAGTAAAGCGTTCATAGTGACACAGATGCCACTAGAGGATACCAAGGTAGATCTGTGGAGACTGGTGTATGACTATAACATATCATCCATTGTAATGCTTAATCAAAGCTACGATAAAAGAGTGAGTTCAAATATTTAAGTCGAAAGAATAATTTGCAACGTCTACTTCTATGACATTTAATACTCTTAATGTGGTTAAACAGAGCAATATTGCAGTAATCTACTGCATGTACAATCAACATATCCTGTAAAACAATAATATATCATACTAGAGTTTAATATCCCAGCTAATCATGCAATTTGATTGGTTACGTTACCTGCACATGCCTAGGGTATATGGGCTCATATCCAATGTAATGATTAAGATATAGTACTAGTATAACGTTCTATGTTGTATTTTTATGTTCACTAAAAACCTCTCAATTGCAGTATTTGTATAATCAATTAATAAAACTCTATTTTATTTTATCCCTCCTGATTTATCGACGATAATAGAAATTGCATACTAAAATTAGTATTTAGTTTAAACATATTTTATTGTATAAAACAAATGGATTAGACACAAGTTTTTCAACTTAGTTCTGTCATCTCCATTCTTCATCTTCTACGCATTTCCTGTGTACAAACTGTCTTCTCATAACCCTGGTAATTAATTTGTAGCGGGTCTTCTAACGCCCCTCAGATATGAGAAGACTACATCTAATACTGATTTATTTATGTTACGACATGTTTACGGTGATCATATACCTATATTAAATGTACAAATTGGTTTCAATGATAAAAGAATGATTGTATATTTTTACGCAGGATGCTTACTGGCCAGAATTAGGTGAATTATCAGTAACATCTGGTCCGTTTATCATTGAACAAACAAACATAGAGTCCAGTCGGTTATTCCAACTCCTTCAACTGAAGATTGTGTATAAAAACAAGGTTAGTTCTTAAGGAATTCCAGCAGAATTTGTCTATAATCATTTATAGTAGCTATGAATTTAAAATCACTTCCCTGAAAAATACAGATTTTTTTTTCGATTGTTGTCCTTTAAGTGAGACCTGGCATACAAATGTACTCAGTTAACTTGAAGACTATTTTCTACTAAATTGGTACTTGACCAAAACGATCATTATTCTTGTCATCTTTCTTTTGAAATTGGTAAATCTCAATGCAGTGGTATAGTCAATGATGCTGTAGTTATATTCAATGAAATAATCAGAATGAAGATTTTTGGGATAAATACTTTTTTGAAAATAAAAATGAAAATTTAAAATGTTAGGAAATTGTTAGCATGCTATTGATAGAACTTCATAAGGATCTGCGTGGGGTTTGCAAAATAGAGAATATTGGACACAAAGTGCACAATAAAGGACACAAAATATAAAGAATAGAGAAAAATAGGCCAAAAAGTAGAGAATAGCGAATGGAATGATGCTGGAATATAAAGAATAGAGAATAATTGCCCCCAAAAATTAGAATAGAGAAAAATTGTTTAAAAATTAAAGAATGCAGAAAAGAAGTACCACCATCCAGACCATCCTTCTTGTCAGTTATTGTGATCCTAGGCACATTTATTTTTTCCGTAGCCCTTGATGAAAATATTATAACATTTTTCAAATGGTAGTATTTTGTTTGTTTTTGCCAAGTTTAAAAGCATACTATATTTTTGTTTAAAAAACCAGTCACGTAATATTTGTATACCAAATGTTTTCTATAGAAGTAGACTTGTACCCTTTTATATCTATTTGTGTGTTGTTGCATTTTTAGGATATGAACGGTTGGTTATATTTGGCTACTATGTGTCGTTCTGGTTGAATTATGCTGCGCTTTGAACAGAAACGTTTGAAATGAAATTTGACATCGTTTCTTATTGTAGAAATAAGAAGATGTGATATAATTGCCAATGAGACAACTCTCCACCAGAGACCACATGACATAGAAGTTAATATTAGTTTTCCAGCAACTTCAAACACAAAACTATGTTTTCAGCTGTTGTTAATTTTTACGCTAAGAATAAAAGAATAAATACTTTTGTAGGATCATAGAAATCTCAAGATGTTCCAGGCCAAATTTTGGGGTGACATAGATGGTGTTCCAAAGACCTCTAGTGATATGTTTAGCTTCATTGACGTTGTCGAAAATGATTGCAATAGTAGCGGGCCAGTACTTGTCCATTGCCTGTATGTGATAAAAACAAATTTATGTTTTGTTTTAATATATAAGTAAACGCACTAAGGGCATATTTTTCTTTAATTTTTTTCATAACTATTAAAATGAAAGCTGTATAAATTGGCCATAACTGCTGAAACGTATTAGAGTGGGTAACTGTAATATACTATCATCATTAAAACCAGTAATGTCACAGACCTCTAGTTTAGATTTCATTAAAACTAAAGAATTGTATTATTATTTTATATATGCACGTTTATTATATCCTTGATTTAGTCATAAACTATGATTTCTTAATATTTGTCTATTCACGAATAACAAAACCATGCCGCAGACTAGAAATACTTTCTTTCTTTTTTTTTTCCTATTTTTTTTTTTTCTGCACGAAAACTACAATAATTTCAATATCTTGAAACGTGTCTTCTAAATCTATTTAATTAGAAATGGTTGTGACAAGAGTGGGCTATACTGTGTGTTGGCGACTGTTATAGAACGACTGAGGATAGAACAAGATGTCGACATACAACACATCATCAAACAGATGAGGAACATGAGGCCACAGATTATCCCAAACTATGTGCGCTATCTTTTAATCTTTAAATTTGAAGGACTTGTAACACTTTAAAATAAATGCAACCAATAGGGAAAACGTTAAATTCACGACCAAAGTACATTTTTTGTACCTACATCCTTCATCGTCAAATTAATGTGTAAAATAGAACATATAAGTACATTGTAATTGCATGCAATAAATGTGTTGTACATTGTACAAACAAAAATACACACTTTGGTCACATTTGGAAACTAGGGAATGTAACGATTGACAGAATGCAACGATTGGCAGGTGTATGCGCATACTTTAAACACTGTAGCCACATTAGGGAATGCAACCGTTGAAAGGTGTATGTCCATACTTTAGACACTGCTGTCGCCTTAGGGAATGCAATGGTTGACGTGTATTTCCATACAATAAAGCAAGCTATAAATAATGCAAGGTTTTGAAAGGCTATGGATGGGTTTTTTTTAATAGACACAACATTAGATATGATAGTAACACTACTTTCGTTACAAATGGACACAACACGAAACGTATAAACACTTTAATACCGGTATTTGAAAAATAAACGCAATTTCTGAAGAAAAAAAATCAAAATACAAAACATGAAACTGGTCTAAATGTACAACACACATGTTCAAAATACCATAAATATTATACAAAGAGGAAAATAAGCGGCCATTGACTAAAACCCGACTGTTCACAATACCAATAATTTCTATTTATCACTATTATGTACAAACATCGTTTAGGCAATTTTATAATTCGTTTTAGAATTTGTAGTTGAAACTTTGGTGTATTTTTTTCAGGAACAATTCCAGTTTATATACGAAGCTGTAATTGAATATCTACAAGATTTTGAAACGTATTCTAATTTCCAGTGAATCGTTTCCTCAATGAATTAATTAGATTATTTAGTGGATCTGAAATCGTTGACTTCAGTTTAAGTAGCGACTTTAATCTCTTGGTACAGATGTATACAGTTGACAATGATTGACTTGCTGACTGAAGCGAAATAGTCTGCAACTTAATATTAATGCCTTATTTATATTTTTTTATCATTGTATTTATATCAATTAGATAACGCAATTATGTACCTTTAAATGATTTATATTCAAAAACGCAATATCTAGAATGTCTTTAGATACGGAAAACGCTGAGGGAAAACGTCGTTATATGTACTTGTATTTTGTAAATAAACAAATATGACAGCAATATACGACACTTTTGAATTCTATACTACGATTAAACGATGGATATGTTTTTTGTTAGCTGAACTTTTTTCGCCTTCTACAGCAATTAAAAGCTGCTTAAAATTGGCAAGTGTGTGATGTGTCTTTAATTTTATCAACCCTGAACTACTGAACACTGAATAAGGTTACAGTATTTTATGCCTGTACCAAGTAAGGAATATGACAGTTGTTTTCCAATCGTTTGATGTGTTTGAGCTTTTGATTTTGCCATTTGATAAGGGACTTCCCGATTTTAATTTTCCTTGGAGTTCGGTATTTTTGTTATTTGACTTTTTAAATATGTTCAATTCTAGTAGAATTCATTAAGATGATATAGATCAAAATTAAGAGAGAAAAAACAAAGGAATTGCATTAAATCCAGACAGCGTGACCGGGTGCCTCACTCAATATAGTAAGCGTCTCCTGCTATGAATGTTTTACCTGTCAACCTCATCCACAGTTCAGTCAAAATGTCACAATAGGGGACACAATCGGTAATTTTATTCTCAGATGACTCTTATGGTATCTAAAGAATAATGACACCGAAAAAAATGTCTCTTGTTAATTGAGACACAGACATATTGTTTCTAACAACCAATTTGTGATAGCGACCGTAAAACTTGAGTAGTGCCGATTTCAATCGATCTTCCACATAACCATGCTGGAGCAGGTTTCTCCTTTAGGAAAACTTCCTTGTTAATGAAGTCCGTATAGGTGATATTCACTCGCTTAATGTGTCAACTCACAAATACAACAACATACAATGGGACAGAGCCTAAGTTACTGCTTAGGAATGCCATTAAGTTGACGATTGGAAAGCCATAATCCTTCATGTCACACATCCTAGTTTGAATTCGTCCATCTGTGTCATTATCAAGAAAAGTTCCAGATATGAAGCAGACCTGCTGGTTTCGGTAAAATTTGTTTATCAAGTTCACTGGAAAATACGTAAAGCAAGCACTCAATGAAATGTGGGTTACCGAGTGACAAGGCATCACAAACAGATCTCAAAGTGAATAAAAGAACTTAGCATGATCCCTTTTTTTTTTAATGGTAAAAATATTAGATATTATCAATTCGTCAATTCAGTTCAATAATCAATATTTGTACCTCAAACTCTTTTCTGAAAAAAATTAAGTGTCAATATAAAGATATATGCAAAGAAGAAGACATTTAACAACTTTATATCTTGACAAAGAATTTTTTTTCATATTAAAAACGTATTCAAAAGTTATTTACGAAATGACATATATCTATGTCTGTTTAAAAAAAAAGTGACAGGATTAACCCCTCTTGGTTTCAAACGATATATATTTTTTTTTTTATTTTCCAAACCTTGAGTGTACCTGATAAAGGTATTTCCAGGAACACGTGTATTGGTACACATTACAGTTTGTGACGTTTTCTCTTTCTTTTGTTGCGGGGGGAGGGGGGGGGGGGGGGATATGAAAATGCTGATGTCTGTCCGTCATGGTAATATGATGAGTTAAGACCTTTTCAACTGATTTTTATAGTTTGTTCTTATTGTGTACTGTTACATCACTGTCCCAGGTTAGGGGGAGGGGTTAGCGCGCCTTTAAACTAGTTTAAACCCGCCACATTCTGTATGTGCCTGTCCCAAGTCAGGAGCGTGTAATTCAGTGGTTGTCGTTTGTTGCTGTATATCATATTTGTTTTTCGTTCATTATTTTGTACATAAATCAGGCCGTAAGTTTTCTCGTTTGAATTGTTTTACATTTGTCATTTCGGGGCCTTTTATAGCTGACTATGTGGTATGGGTTTTACTCATTGTTGAAGGCCGTAAGGTGAACTATAGTTGTTAATTTCTGTGACATTTGGTCTCTTGTGGAGAGTTGTCTCATTGGCAATCATACCACATCTTCTTTTTTATATCGATTAAAAAGATTAGTACATGTAGTTGCGATTTCGATAACTTCTCGGTTCTTCCATGCTAGTGTGATATGAAGAACAAATATACCGTGCGAGAATATTTTGCACAATTAAAAGGCAAACAAAAGATATTTAAATAAAACAAATTGCCAAACAGAAAACATTCAAAGTCTTTTTATCAGACAAAATGTTATAAAAACGTAATTATACTATTTCCCATGGTTGATCAATGATAATTGATATTTTTCAAGATGAAATCAGAAATAAATTAAAAGATGTTTGAAATATTTTCAACGCTAGTATACTAAAAGTAGAATAATTTGATCTACAGTCTTATATAAAATCAGAAGTTCAATAATTAGAACAGCATACATGATAACATGATTAAAACTTCTCACCGTTAAATGCATTTACATTTGAACGCTATACATAAGATAAACAAAGATAGCCAAGTGTCTGATAACAGAGAAGTTTAGTAAGTCTTTGATAAACATATTCACTTAAAGTGTATACACGCGTACATTTGTACAGCAAGATGTCTTCCTTTGCTCCAACATCTAGTAGCGACAGTTCCAAACCAGACGTCGCAAAATACGACGCTCCAGATGCAGAATTTTTTGCAGGTATGTGTCTGCATATACAATTCATTGCTTAACCAGACTAACCGTGGTAACACTTTCAAATTCATTCATATACGTAAATGCAATTTTCTGTAAAAGTAATCGAGCTATTTAAAAGCTATTGCGTAGGCCACATTCTAGATAAATACTCATGTAAGCTTCCATTAAATCCATCAGCACCTATTCCATACTTTAAATGATACTGACAGCAGTAACATCATAATATTGAAATTTGTTGACAATTTTTTTCTGAAGGAGCTCCTATTTGCAGCAACAAATACTAAAGTTCTGATGTTATAACTTTTAAACGTAAGTCTGTGTATTGAAGTCATTGTCATCTTCCTAAATCATCTTATTTCCTGTACATTATTTTTGCCTTCAGTTATGACAAACATCAGATTATTGAACACGTACTTCCGGACTAATTATTTTTGTAAAACAGCTTAAATATGTGTACATGTAATAAATCAAGCATAGACATTCAAATTCGAACAGTTTCAAATTCCATCCTGCAAAACACAGAATAAAATCTTTTTTTTTCCCAGAACAATAACCGACTGGAACAAACTACCCGAGAACATCATAAATTGCGCATCAGTAAACTCTTTCAAATCTTCAATCTCAAAATATCAATATTAAAATCAGCTATTCACATCAAACATATTGTACATTTGTCATTTTCATTTTCCTGTATTTTTAATTTGAATACAACTTGTAATATAAATATATGTCTTGTTGTACGTTATCCTCCTGTGACATAATCTTCAATTTGTCGAAGGCGGTCACTATATGGTAGATGTATATGTAGATAGATGTAGCTTATCATATATATTACACGCAGAATAAATGTTAGCAAACAAGTTGCTTTCTTTAAAAAAAAAAGAAATGCAATCGTGATCCTAAATGCCTGTTTGGTATATAAGATATAATACTGCTATATAAAAAAGCATGATTTTACCACATTTTTTTTTATATAAGATGTAGAAAAACTGACATGGATTTTTAATGAAGCTGCTGTTCAATGTTGGGCATAATTTTCTTGTTAAAGAAATAATTTTTCTCTCTCCCATCCCTCTCTCTTCCGATAGATAACATTACAACATGCTTAATAGGAGGCAACCATGTATGTTCCATTCTGATGTGCTGTTTTGGAAATTAGAAGTAGCTTCCTGGCTAAAATCGACTTATAAATGTGAAAACAGTCTTTATTTTGAAGAAGTTTAATGAAATGAATCATGATTATTTGTTTAATGTAGCCAGTTTGAAAATATTCTGATTTCTTAATCCCGAACTAAAACCGTTTTGGAAAACCAATTACACTGGTTTATATGGTGGGGTCATTGGTTTATAATGGCTATCATATTCAAGATGTGATTGATCTCAATTTATTTATACCCAAGGCAACAAACCCCAATCAGACTTTTAGAGTAGAAACAGTTTTAAACCTCAACTTTATACTTAAATCAAACAAATCTCACTTTTTTATTTCATTATTTGTCCTTTTGTAAATTAGCATAACTATAATGAAGATGTTGAAATGTTGTTTTATACGATTGTGTGATAAACAGAGGGAAGCCGGAATAATAGTGCCAATTCACTATAGTGGGTGTCCAGTACGCAATTTAAAAATCCTGTTTTTGTAATTGCATTTTCTTTGAATACGGATATTGATTTTAAGAAAAATATTTTGTTACTATAAGATGTGCTTTTTTTGGTTATGAAATACAAACGATTTTCTATCGCCTAGTTTGAAACGATATCCTCTTACTTTTTGTCGCCAAACGCTGTAGGCCTCTGTCAACTAGAGTCTCTAAATTCGCTTATTAATACAGATTGCCTTAACTCCTTGAAAATGAATTGACGGAATTCCCAGAACCATGCACTCATTCTTCTTTAGTTGGGACATGAAGTTGTGCACCTGCTTCAACTTTTAGTATGATTTTTTTTTTTTTTTTTTTGGGGGGGGGGGGGGGGGGGGGGTCACATACCACAAAGAATATCAATCAGCGTGTCTGTAAATCGTTTCATATCTCTAGAATTATTTTAAGGACTCAAACGCATATATTCATTTATGAACTGTTTCGATATGACATATAATTTAAGAATTTAACATACATAAAAGGTGCGTTTAAATGTCATCGTAATTTGCATTTTTAGTATGGTTTCTTTATATAAAAAAGGAAGATGTGGTATGATTGCCAATGAGACAACTCTCCACCAGAAACCAATGATGTAAAAGTTAAAAACTATATGTCACCGTATGGCGTTCAAAAATGAGCAAAACCCATACCGTATAGTATTCTATAAAAGATTAAAACTAGCAGCCTAATGTGATCGAGATATGTATTATTATTGCTTTTGTTACTTTAGTGCCTTAATTACTATAAATAGAAATTCATTATCTTATCTCTTCATTACTATATCTGCATTTTACACATCTCAACGATTCTAAGGTTCAGTTTGTTTTTCTTTAATTTATTTTCTATTTATTTGTATTTGTATTTTGATAACGATATTTAAAGGATATTTAACCTCTAGCATTCTTGTTTCCCCTTAATAAGTGCTCGTAATAAAATGCGTTGTGCAAGTGCGAATTTAAAAAAAAATGTATACATCTTTTTATGATTTTTGTAAGAAAATAAAAGAAGATTAGACATAAGTCTTTTAAGATACAAGGAGACACTAATAGATCAATTCAAGGAACAACGCTTTTATTGTTGTTTTATTGTTGACAGTTAAACCTCATCAATCAAACAAGTATCCTCTTCAAACCAATCTAAATGTATTATAACACATAAATGCTATCATGGAACAACGTCAGCACGAAATTTGTTAATCGATTTAACCTGGTGACATTCTTTCAAAAATGGGTATAGATCGTAAATGACGTGATAATCACACATCCTACCAAAACATGGGTTGATTACATCTCTATAAGTGGCACTCGTCGTCTTACTCACTACAAAGCCTACCAAAACATGGGTTGATCACATCTCTATTAGTGGTACCCGTCGTCTTACTCACTACGAAGCCTACCAAAACATGGGTTGATCACATCTCTATTAGTGGTACCCGTCGTCTTACTCACTACGAAGCCTACCAAAACATGGGTTGATCACATCTCTATTAGTGACACCCGTCGTCTTACTCACTACGAAGCCTACCAAAACATGGGTTGATCACATCTCTATTAGTGGCACCCGTCGTCTTACTCACTACGAAGCCTACCAAAACATGGGTTGATCACATTTCTATTAGTGGTACCCGTCGTCTTACTCACTACAAAGCCTACTAAAACATGGGTTGATCACATCTCTATTAGTGGTACCCGTCGTCTTACTCACTACGAAGTCTACCAAAACATGGGTTGATCACATCTCTATTAGTGGTACCCGTCGTCTTACTCACTACGAAGCCTACCAAAACATGGGTTGATCACATCTCTATTAGTGGCACCCGTCGTCTTACTCACTACGAAGCCTACCAAAACATGGGTTGATCACATCTCTATTAGTGGCACCCGTCGTCTTACTCACTACGAAGCCTACCAAAACATGGGTTGATCACATCTCTATTAGTGGCACCCGTCGTCTTACTCACTACGAAGCCTACCAAAACATGGGTTGATCACATTTCTATTAGTGGTACTCGTCGTCTTACTCACTACGAAGCCTACTAAAACATGGGTTGATCACATCTCTATTAGTGGTACCCGTCGTCTTACTCACTACAAAGCCTACCAAAACATAGGTTGATCACATCTCTATTAGTGGCACCCGTCGTCTAACTTATTGCGAGTAAAAAATTGGTGATAAGTCACATTTGGTTATGTTATTGTAGGGGAAAAGAAAACGGGATTGTGGGATTGAAAAGTGGAGCATATCCGTAGTCATTTAAATCACGATGACATCCGTAAAACTTTCTTTTTGGATTTTTTAATATGATTTCATTTTTTTTTCATGAAATTGATGTTAAATTTTGTAGTAACATAGTTGTATACTACAGAAAATTCAAAATGCAAATGTGGCTTGGCTTTCATCTACTTCAATTTCTTAAACTGGGTATTAACGAATAACTACTACATGGGTTTCTCTATTCTAGATTTTTATCACAAAAAGTACATTAAGAAGCAAAGTATGAAAATGTTATTTTCAACTAAAAGTATCCACTAAAGGTACTATATATAAAGTTTGCCACTACGTCTTTGATATCAAAAGCACATTTGTGTATATTAGTTCTTGTGACAATGCTGAAAAAGGATCTATAAGCCGGGCTAAAATCAGCGTCACAAAGAACATTATTGGGAAACTGAGATAAATTCTTTACTCCATGGAAAGGAATTTAGTTTGATGACTTTTACCTATATTATTTGTTTGAATATATTTCTGATTGTCTTTGTAGGTATTCCAAATATATCCTTGAAGAAAGATGCTGCGGTTGATAATTCTCTTGTCTACAAACATTATGATGCAAAAAAGGTATTTAATATGTTTGAGTTACTTCTCTTAGTCCTGGTCGTTTTCAGGTGACCTAAAATTTCCTGTAAGTTTAAATAAGCATATAGGCTTTATATCTGTGCTATATAAATATATTTAAAATGAAAACAACTCTTGATAAATTTCATACGTCCGAAGCAATTTTCTGGAATTACCTTCATCAGGAACGCTCAGTACCGAATATTTCAAAGCCAGGGACATATAATAACTGAAAGAGTCGAAGAGCTATATGACCAAAAAGAAGCTTTCATTTTGAATTGTCATAATAGCAACTATTACAACTTCTTTTTTTAAATTGAAAAAGAAAAAAAAAATCGAAACTAAAAATGAATGGGATTCATGAGAATTTGTGAAACCAAAAAGAAGTATAACAAAGTTTAGAGACAAAATTGCTCTCTCTCTGTATATATATAATTGTCAGGTTGATTGTCTTAGACCGACTGCTACAAATCTTCTCACCACCCAAGAACATTTTTGGAGTATACATAAAAACAGAACTTTGAGTTCCAACACCAATGAAACACAACGTACAAAATAAAATACTAGTAAACAATTAACTATATCATCAAAGCACTTCAACAGACAAAAACAAATTTACCAGAGGACCAAAATGTTATTGTTCTTTGATTAAATCAAGAGTGTACATTTCATTCTTAATGAAACGACCATTTGAATCTGAGGGGTGTATGGTTTTTAGCTAAACAAATATTCCAAACTTTGAAGAAATAAATTTTCTGATTGAGAGTAGAGCTATTTAATTGATTGTTAGGTTCTTAAAAAATCGCGTTTTGCGCAACAAACAAATTAATAGTTTGATGCCCGCGTTATACAAAAAAAAAAAATACCCCCCCCCCCCTTTTCCCTTCCATCAAAGTTAAAGGGTCATTCCCTAATACTCGTGAAAAAGTTACAGTTTTTGATTCTGGTAAGTGTTGTGGCTTTAATAAATTACAAATGTAACCATATTTTTTAAATGACAGATTCTAGTTTCTATAATACGTATACAATCAATGAGTTGTACATATCCACTTTTGTTTGTGTTTATGGTAGTGTCAAAACTGTAACGTGAGGGTACCCAACTTCCACATATTTTGAGTTTTTTTCACCTACGTTTATTTATGATCCAGACAAAAGTTTCCATTTCTGTGTTTATTTTGTAGATGTGTCCTATTTACTTTACAGTTCCACCAATTTAATTTTGAATCCATATTGAATCATAGAAAAATGGGTTTGAACCGACCTCCAAACGACCCATGATTCTGTAAAGATGAGTTCCCAGATTGCATCCATGCTTAAATTCACATCCGTAAAAATCGAATAACTGATGTTTTGTTTTATTTCTTCAAATATTCAGAACAATTTGACAATCGTCCATGCTTACTATTCATTTTTTTTAAGAAATGGATGCCTGTAACATATTTTAATTGCTCATTTTTAAAAGTTGACTTTTTTGTTGACGTCGCATGGCGACGTTTCTGTTACAGTAGATTTTACTTTTTGAAGTGAATACTTCATATGTTGATATATACTGTGAACGTTTTGTGTATATTTATATATATTTAGCTATGTTGAAAGACTTGCATAATGTCAAATCATAAAAATACAAATTGTTTAGTCTCTACTGAGAACACTTGTAAGATTTCCGTTGCTTTTTTTTGCTAAATGGGTGCAATTTGGGTACTGTGAAGTTTTAGTGCTTTACTCTGTTTCCTTTTCAACATCCAGGTGGTTATGGGAAAAACAATGGAAGAGTGGCTAAGATTCTCCGTGTGTTTCTGGCATACGTTCAGGGGAACAGGTAAATATATATGACGTATTTCTTGGAAGAGCGGCTAAAATTTACTGAATGTTTTGATACACAAGAAGAACAGGTAAAAGATATAATATTGTTTTCCTGTTCAAACAGTTGTGATGACAATATTTAGCTAACCCAAAATTTAAATATGACATATACTTCGGTTTGGTTATCTTATAATTTTTTTTAAAGTAGACGCGTGCACCATTTAAATGTATATATTGTTTCATTAATTGGTTGAAAATATAACACTAGATGATGATGATGATGATGAAATTAAATAAAACAGATACAGAATCAATGAAGCTTACGGTTCACATAGTATAAAAAACACACACACATATATATATATATATATATATATATATATACACACAATCATAGGTTTGAACCCCTCTACCAAGAAATTTGTTTTGCATGCACACGTATAAAATTTGCGGTTTTTATCCAACGCAATCATAGGTTTGAACGTTGTTTTCAATTTATACTTGTTTATATTTTTTCGTTTGGGCTTGTATTATATTTGCCTTCGGGTTTATATGATCCGTTCATCCTATTTCGACTCTTCAAAATTCATGAGTCAATCCTAAATTGAGGTAAATTATATAGCCTTCCAAATACCGTTTTGATTCCTAATATCACTGAAAAGACACTAATTGTCGAAATCCGGATATGGTGTACCAATTTTTGCACCTCATGTTTGCGGTATACCATCTTTTCCGCAAGTTTATTGTTTTCTGTTTGGTAATAAATTAATAATTAAGGTCCATTTTGTTACATCTGGTGATCCGTTTATTTGGCAATCGCCATGGCAGTCAGCAGGGTTTAAGAACATCCGTTGTTCGACCTGCTAGTCAAATGCGTTTTGTTAAAATATACTTTTTCACTTTTTTGGTCTTTTGTAAAATGTTTTTTGTGCTGTATTTAGACCCCTCTACCAAGAAATTTGTTTTGCATGCACACGTATAAAAAATGCGGTTTTTATCCAACGCAATCATAGGTTTGAACGTTGTTTTCAGTTTAGACTTGTATATATACATTTATATATTCATTGAATGCGTTTCTAACATAAAATTTCAGGCGTTTACTTTTTATTCTTTTGAAGGTGCTGATCCTTTTGGTTTTCCTACCTTGTTCCGTCCCTGGGATGATGGTTCAGACTCATTGGCAAATGCTAAACGCAGACTTAGAGCAGCATTTGAATTCTTCACAAAACTTGGAGTGAAGTATTACACTTTTCATGACAGGTAAATTGCTATGTAATTATACTTTTTTATTGCTGTAAATTACAAAATTAACACCGATGACATTTGTTTTACGTAATTATTGATTATCACAAAGCATAAGTTGAACAACCAATAGAACGTCACGCAGGTCTCGAGATAATGCATGTCAAATGCATGTTAAATGCCCCTAACCCTTTCTTCAGTTATTAAAAAGCTGATATGGATTTACATCAACTACAATGCTTGTTAGAGCACGACAACTCCAAATCAAAGCCATATGGTTCATTAAGAAAATGACCCCTGCTGGATTTATCAAAATCCTAATGAAGTAAAGATACAATCATAACAAGTTCCATTCTAATAGCAAAAAAAAACAATTATTTTGTGTTTCTACAATTACTGATTAAAGTAAAGACATGTGGTTATGACATATTTAGGTTAGGTCTGGAATATGTTATACAGTAATAAGCTTGTCTTATATATGATCAGTACATCTAGGGTAAATAATTTTATTTAGATTAGCTAATTCTAAGCATCTATGTATGTTCAAAGATAACATGTAAATTTAAAGATGTATCTCTAATGCATTCATATAAACTTTTGGATTTTTTAATAATTTAAATTTGCAAGTGTCAGTGTACCTTATATAAACATTAACATAAATATTCCAGAGATGTAGCCCCAGAGGGTGCCACTCTAGCAGAATCGAATAAAAACTTGGATGAAATTACCGACCTAGCCCTCGAACTGCAGAAAAAGACAGGTGTCAAGTTATTATGGGCCACTTGCAATTTGTTTGCTAACAGCAGGTTTGTTAAAATTTTAAAATAATAAGTTTTTCACATGATGAAATTGCAAATCTCCTTTGTCGTGAAGCATTAAGTGTAATGCAAATATGGTTGAAAATGTCTAGATTTAAAAGGCCTCCTTGCAAACATACAAAAGAGTATTTGCACAACATTTCAAAGAAATATGCAAATAGAATAATACTATTCAAATAAAATTAATTGCAGCATACTGCACCCATGTAACCATAAAAATATCTACAAAATCGTAATTTTTACAACGCGATATGTGTGAATTTCTGTCCTTTGAGCGGTATTTGATTAAAAAATCGTATTATCTGCTTACTTATTGTTATTGTGTAATGTATCATGTATGTTTAAGGTATATGAACGGCGCAGGAAGTAATCCAAATGCTGACATATTAGCGTATGCAGCAGCGCAGGTCAAGAAAGGACTAGAAGTAGCCAAGAAACTAGGAGCTGAAAATTTTGGTAAATTGCAGTAGATATATTTATTTACAGTCTGTGAATGAATAGCGATGTTTGGTTCATACGTCAACGAGAAAGCAACCCAACAACATATAAACCTCCAAAAATGTAATTTAAACATAATATGGTCTTCAACAAAAGACAAATGTCTATACCTTGTATGAAGCTATAAAATCGAACAGTGGAATAAATTTAACAGAGACTGCCAAACTTCTGCCATTCACAATAAATTTTCAAAGACAAGTGGCTTAATGTCATATCTGAAAGAAAACACATGTGCCATACTGCTATACACCAGTCTATTTTAGCAAATAATATAATATCGAAGTTGATTGTGTCATATATTTTGTAAGCATGTTGGAACGTACTTGCTAAAATGGTCAGTGGATGAAGTGGGGATTTACAAAAACAAGAAAACGAAGTTTTAATACAGTAATTAAAATACTTTTCTGTCAGTTGATAGATTAGACAATGCTTATATTTCATTCATTGTTTAGCAATATCTGGATTTGTTTTAGCAGACTTATTGATTTGAATATCCCTTCGGTATCTTTCATCTCTCTTATATGATTTCGGAAGACAATATTGCATCTAAATCTCGAATGAATTACTTACTTCCATACTATTTCAATATAAGCTGAGTACATACTTAACTGATAGTTTCATATTCCATTTATGTTATTCATTTTATATATTTTGTACCTTCAGTGTTCTGGGGAGGCCGCGAAGGATACCATACCATATTGAATACCAACGTTCTTACTGAACTGACAAATATGGCCTCTTTTTTCAAGATGGCTGCCGGTAAGTAATTTGTCGACTAATTCATGCTGACGTTATAAATATAGAACCTAATATTTCTCTTCGTGTATAATTAACAACATCAACCACCCTTGAAATAATATTTGATAGTCTAAAAGATCATTTATTACACATATATGAAAATTGTAACACTAGATTATCTGTGGTAACGTTGAAACTTATGATCCACAATATGTAAAGTTGCAGTATATAGGTTTAATCTTTCTAAAAAGGTACGGAGTGCTTTGCAGTTTCAATATTATGCCAACTTTTGTGTTCGGGGAGATTTTTTAAAAGGGGTTTGGCTCAGACGTCCATCTGGGGTTTAAGAACCACCCCAATTCATATATTGGTTAATTCGAAAATCCTTACCCATATATATATTTCATAGCAAAATCATCCCCCATTTCATATATTTTCCAGACATACAATTGACATCTTAACAAGATGTTAACGACATGAATCATTCATAGTAATTAGATAAAAAGATAAGTACATACATTTTTTTTTAGTTTTTAAAGACCACTTATATTTATGACCCATTGCAATGTATATTTCATTATATGCCACTATACGGCCTTCAACAACGAGAAAAACCCATACCGTATAATCAGCTATAAAAAGCCCCGAAACAATTCAAACGTGAAGATTAATGGTCTTATTTATAACAATACAATTTACGAAAAAACATTTATGACAGACATGAACCAAAGACAACCCCTGAACTACATGCTCCTGACTTGGGACAGGCATATAAAGAATGGGGTGGGGTTAAACAGGTTTGTGAGCGCTCAACCCTCCCATTACCTGGGACAGAAGTTTAACAGCACAAAATAAGAACAAAACTATAAAAATCAGTTGCAAATGGCTTAACTTAATAGATCGGCACAAAAACAACTAACATAAAAACAATAGACTTAAAGCACCAATATAAAGATGTCTCTGAAAAAGTACGGTTGTCATTATTTCTACATAATCCCCACTTTGGTAGTTGCTACCCATTAGAACTGAAGCCCCTTGGAAAAGAAAGAAGCAGCAAACTTGGTTGTTTTCGAGTAATTACTATTTTTATTTTTTTTGCTTTGAATATATAGCACTAATGTTATCAGGAAATAAGTATTAATCATCCATACAGGGCAAGTTAGATTTTCCGAGTCGCAACTTATACTCCTCAGGATTTCCCTCTCTTCCCGTTAACAAATTGAAAATCAATACCATTGAGGGGTTGACAGAAGATTAATTTAGTTTTTTCGAACAAAATATTTAATATATTTTGGAATTGCTAATAATTTTTAATTCAAATTTGAGTTTCATACATTACAGTTTTACGGTTAAGGAGTTTTTACCCTTGAAAAAAGAAATTTCCCAAAATTGTCCTTTCCTGGTCATTACTTTAGTTTTCCCAATCAATGCTTTCTTACTACTACCTGCACCTGTGGTTTTTAGGGGTAATTTCCTTAAAATAGATTCTCTGACTTCTCCAACTAGCACATCTCTGTTGTATGTAGACGATGTTGAAGTCAGAAGAATCTCTGTAGGATGTTTTAATGCTTTCCTCAATTAATTATTTTTAATGTTTTTAGTCATATCTAGTCCTGACGTGCTATAGAATGAATGAAATGTGTCAGTACAGTATCAACTTAAAACTATCTGCATTTTTATGTACTTAATGTTGATTTAAATCTCGTAATGGACATTACTCCATTAAATCTCACATGACCGATTTTATTTTAACCCTTTTAGACTAGTTAGTAATTCTGATTGAAGTTAATTAAACTGTTATATTGGTTTACATCCATTATACTTTATCCTTTTAAGTTACACTGGGAACCTGTCCAAAGATTTCGCACAACTTGAATTATCCCTTTTCTGTTTTAATTAAACCCGAAACAAAACAAACCAATAACTCCAAGCTTTCGTATGTTCTCAAACCTTAACTGGTCAATTAAATCACTTTATTGTTAATTTAACTGAGGATAAAAGACCCAATAGTTTTTGAAAAAAAATCATTAGACTTGGAATAAATAGAATTCATATGAAGTAAGTTGAAAGAGGACATAACATATTTATAGAATTTTAAAGTAATGCCAGCAATAACAAATCAAACAAATTATTGGAAACAAAAGAAAAGCATTACATTTAATTATAGCTGGAAATTCCGCTGACATCCTATTGCAACGACCTTTGTTGAGATTTGACTGAGACCTTATTTAGGACACCAAAGAGAAAAGTCCATGTGCCAAACATGGAATTGTACAAATTATAGCTTAACAAATGATTAAACACATTAGTATCTATAAATCAAACTTTTTGGAACAAATATTTTTGTTCTCATGCATGAGACTTGTCAGCAGTAGTTTGCACAAACCTAATGTCGACAAGTTATAAAAAATGCCATCTCAATGTTTTAAAGGCTATATTTTATGTTTTGCATAACGTCCCACATCTGCATCTAAATATAGATTAACTAAAAGTCGCTTGACGTCAATGAATTTGGATTACATATAGGTTACAAAATTAGAAATATTTCATGTTTTATTCACTATTCCCCTTTATCATCTATGTGGTCATATTAAGGACAGATTATTTTCTGTGCGGTTTTAATGATTTGTTGCTAATGTCCATTAGTTTTAGAAGGACCAAAATCATTAACATCGTGGAAACATTCATTCATAATCACAATGTTCTTAGTAGTAGTCTATTCTATAAACCCTTGCAATCCTATATATATATATATATGCGAGAGAGTCTATGTGACTTTGAAATCATATTAACTTTAATATTCAAAACTAAACAGTGTTCATTTTTATATATTGATAAGAAATTCTATTTGACCCAATTTTGTGTGTGAAGGTTTTAAAATCTCTAAGAATAAAGGAATGAAATCGTGGGCGTCCAGAAATTTTCAAACGACATTAATCCATACTATTCTCATGTCCAGTTCTTTGCGCTGCAGAAAGAAACAATCAAGTCCATTATTAGAAAATTCTATGGCCTCTGGTTGTCAAAGAAATGGACACTTATTTATCAGAAACAAAACGAAGTCGTAAAATGTAATAATTGACAGTAACGAAAACAACAGAAATTTATATCAGCGAACAGTAAGATGTCATCAGAGAAAGGTTTTCAAGAAGTTTTAATTATTCGGAAGCAAACAAAAGTACGCTATAAGAAACATATTCAGATCGTATGACAGTATCTGTACTCCATTATTATAAGCCTAGATGAGTACTACGCAGCTTCTTTTTCTTGCAAGGTTAACTACCCTCATTAGCGATTAAAACAGATTGTTTGTCAAAATCTACGAAACAATGATAGAGGACGGTATACAAAAACTTCACACAATCCCTTAAACTCAAATAATTGAGAGGCAATATCATTTATCACTGGTCTGACTTTGGACAGCCTTAAAGGACAAATATATGAGTAAGACCTCTCAATGCAGACAACAATGGGAAAAAATATATAATATTCGGTAGCCTCGGTGTGGCGTGCTGGCTTCGAGTGTAAAAGATTTAGAATTCGATTACCACCTTGGTAAAAACATTTATGTTAAAAATGGTTTTGGATGCTTTGACATCTGAGTAGAATAATGTATCCGTGTATGGTAGCATAATAAAGAAAGAGGACTTGTAACATGAGTTATCAAAAATATTGGACAGTACAAAAGACCAACCAACACTAAACTCTCTGCAAACTGCCTTGTGAACTGGCATGTTATGATCCGACTAAGTGTATCAGTCTTGTACAATATAAGGTAACAGCAGTTTACTGGTGTTCAGGACTTGTAAATCCATTTGACGCATGAACTCTGAACGGAGAAAAATCGAAAATATTTATTTTTATTTTAACGTATTCGGCTATGCATGCACCATCCACGAAAAGAATCCGGACTCAAATAAAAACCATACTCACTATTATGTGTTATATATATGTGCACATTCACGGTACTACAATCTGTAGATACCTATATTTTGGCATTGCACAATGTCATGTTTTTCCCTAACTGCTATTGACGTCTTTACACTAAATCTATGAGATGTTTGATGTGTACTGACTGATATTTTAGTCTTAGATACATGATTTTTATATTAGTTGTTATTGACTTTGAACTAGCTGTCAGTAACTGCGAGTACTCTCAGACCTGTTCTTTGTGGCTATTGTTGTTGTGGGGGATGTATAAACCTGCCACGTCCGGTATGTGTTTTGTTACATGTTTTTCTGCTATGTATCGATCTGACGAGTGAAGCCCTTTTCAACTGATTTTTTTATAGTTTTATTCTTATGTTGTACTGTTACACCAATGTCCCAGGTTAGGGGAAGGTTGGCGGCATTAAACATGTTTAACCCATTCACATTCTTGGCGTGCCTATTCCAAGTCAGGAGTCTGTAGTTCAGCGGTTTTCGTTGGTTCATGTCTTTCATTTTTGTTTTTCGTAAATTATTTTGTTATAAATTAGGCCGTTAGTTTTCCCAATTGAATTGTTTCATATTTTTCATGTCGGTGCCTTTCTTGGCTATACGGTATGGATTTTTCTCATTGTTGAAGGCTGTACGGTTGCCTATAAATGCTTACATCCATTTCATTTGAACTTTGGTGGAAAGTTGTCTCATATGCAATCATACCACATCTCCTTATTTTTATATCAGTTTAAAATAATACGAAAGGGCATAGGACACAAAGATAAATTAACACATCAGACAACTTTTCTTAAAGAATTACCTCCGCTAAAAAGCATGTTTCTATTGAAATATGACACTTACTCATCGTATCAATCAACATATCAGTGTTAAACAGGTCCTAGTTCCCTTTTCAGAACAGCTAATTGATGATCCATTCCCTGCGCAGTAAAATTGTATCGGTTTTAGATTGCATTCATACTTTTTTAAGTTAATGAACCACCATTCGATCGTAATATTAGAGGAAAGTTCAACCCAAAACATTCGGTAAATTCAAGAAAAAGCGATTTTTCATTGCCAAATTAAAAAATATAGACAGAAATGACAATAATCCACAGAAAACAGATCACAGTAGCATTTACTCAGCTAAAATCTGTAAATGAACTAGCTGTGCCTAACTTGTGATAAAATTGTAATAAGTCATTAACGAGATAAGAAGGGCGAACCGAAACACATACGACAAACTAAACGCCTCTACTGTGAACTTTCCCCTGTCCAGAAATTGAAACGTAAACAGTACATTGTATGAAACTAAAAATGTAAAGCCAATGAAAATTAATTTTTAACAGATATCGCGAAAGTAAGGAGACAACAATACGAGTGAAAATCAAAATCATAAGTCGACGAACAATGCATTGACTAACAGAAAAAAATGGAATTGACAAAACAATATTCCATAAAATACTATACACGGAAAACTGAAGATTGAAGACTCCGCAAATAATAGCGTGGGAATGTTAAAGCCTAATATGTCGACTATTCTAATATTCGAAAACTTTATTCTTTATTCGGTAACAATTTGATCACTTTTGATTAGGTCATTAGTCTTGATTCTATAAAGCCATATATAACAAATGTTTTTCTTATCACCATTATATACATTGGGCTAGCTATTTAATTTCATTTAATAGATATTATACAGCCATGTGGTAAATTGAAATTGATTTGATCTTATTTTATATAAGGTTTAAGTGCACCTTATCTCTGCAACTCCTTTAGAGGATGATGTATACTTCCTACATAATTTGGTAGTGATATATATTTGCTATATAGTATACAGGGTATGTCAAGCTTTCTATCTGATTGACATAAAATACGCAATTCACTTTTATACGGTCAATTTATGAAAAATTGTCAAATATATCATTTTAAAAAATAGCAAGGAAAGACTTCCTTTTGGACCGATCTTATTGACGGGAATAAGCATTAACATAGACATAGAGGGTTTCAAAGGAAGTATTGCTTAAGCAGTTTACGGCGTCAATAATTGCTAAAGTCTGTGATCAGGTCGGTTTTAGAAAACCACTAATGATATGTCAATGATATTTGATATGCAGTTGTATTAGCATTAATTATTATTTCATTTCCATGTTGAAATGCATGTCCTGTCCCCTCAGTCATAGTTAACTGACTTTGAAACTTTCCCCTAGTTTAAATGTTGAATGAACTACTACTGGTAAGTAAATGCTATTAGGTATTCAGGTGTGATAGCATTTATACGTCATATTTCCATTAGAATCATTTGGCCCAGATAGATCTACCTATTTATATGTAACATAAGCAGCAGCTTTACTCAAAAAATGTATTTTACCGTTGCTGTTAATCAGACATGAGGTCAATCACTTTTGAAAGTAATTAATTACATTTAATTACAATTACAAAATCTTCAATTAAATTACACATTACATTTTACTTTTTTGCCAATATAATGAATTACTTTCCAATTACTTGGCAAATGTAATTAATTACTTCAATAACTTTTGAAAGAAAAATTTAGCTAAAATATTGAAAACATGCATTTATTCTATGATAAGTATCATACATTGCTTTATAGTATATCTGATGGAAAATAAAGTGGACATGTGGGGAACAGGCAAGCAATAAAACCTGAAAAAAATTGAAATACTCAGATTTTACTGGGAAAAAGGGTGAATTGGGATAGAAAAAGGAGTGGATGAGAACAGATAACTTACATATAGGGTTCAAGATGATGGTAAAATTCTACTGCAAAAATTAGACATTGGGGATTGAGCAGGAACAGATAGCCTTCAAACAAGTTAATATATGGACTCATACTCTACTACAAAACCATTTGGATCCTTAATCAAGTAACGGGGGAAATATTAATGAAATAATATATTGTTAAAACGCAAATGATCCACATCTTAACATTTTCAAAGTCTAAATTATTATTAGTGAACAATTTTTTGCGTGTGAGATTTTGTCATATGTATATTTCCTTCACGAGTTACATGTACCTAGGGGTATATTCATCTCTCTCTAATTGGCTAAACACCTGTTTACTTGCAAACATAACTGTTGTAAAAACAGTTATTATATAGTTTATAATAAAACAAAAAGCGAAAGATTATATTTATTGATTGACTATGTTCTTTTTAGAATATAACAAAGTGCTCTCGACCAATGAAATTGTAAAATTTGATGTCTCTTAATTGTGAAGAATGAATTAAATCATGTTCTTAGTAAGGGATTATCCTATTATTTAGGTCTATTTACAGTTCAAAACAAAGAGTTTCTATAAATGAGTTACAGCTGCCCCGAAGCACATTTATCAGATTGAAAGGATTTATCACACAGTGATTGAAACTAACTAAAAGTTGAATTGTGAAACAAACAAAAAATTCAAAATAAGTTGAAGTTTACTAGTGCACTAAAATTGGTACCTTTAATGTTATTATGAAAATATTAATAACTTCAAATTACTTAAAAATTGAATAACATCAAAGCAATGCAAAAAAGAAAAATAATTTTAAATAAAAAATTACCCAAATCCTTAGTTTTCCCAAAATCTGATTACTGGACCAGCGGTTGCGAAGAATAGTTATTTCCAATATTCCGATAAAATAAAAAAACAGGAATTTAATTTAAGTTTTGAATTTATTAAAAACTTTTAAAGGCATTTATTTGAACATTCCCCTGACTGAATGAAATAGTATTTGATTTAAAAAGCCGGACCAAAATATTGGCTGTGAAATAAAATCAGTTGAATCTCAAAAGTATTTATTAATTTAAATTGTAAATAAAAAAAAATCTTCACTAAAATTTTATTACGCATTTTTTTTTTAATATTTCCCAAATTATAAGAAAGTCCTTACATCACTAAAACTAATCCATAAATGAAATGCCGAAAAAGGAAGTCATGCATCAATTATAAACATTGCAATGACAATGAAACTAATTCTTGTATACAACCAATCAGGAGATCATTTGAGCCTTGAGCACTTTACAATATTCTAAGTTTGTAAGAGAATGATAATCCCTTACTTCATGATAAGTACTCGCTAACGCTCGGACTTAATCATGAAGAAAGGGATTAGCATTCTCTTACATATACAAAGTTAACTATGTAAATCAATGTCTAACGATATCTATCTGAATATAAATGCGGGTAACAAGCTAATTAAGGAATAAGACTGTGTCTTACTAATGGTTTCTTTTAACATGAATTATGGCATGTTTTCACAATCTTTTTTTTATTCTTTTTATTTATTTTTTTCCATTCAATACAAAATAAAGAATCTCCCATGGCTGTGTCATTACAAAAGGTATACTGTTTAGGCTTTGCTTTGTCAGCTAACTACATTTACTAAAGTCATGGCTTTTCGTCATGTGTTGAGAAAACACAATATTCAATCTTCCTGGTTCAACATTTCAAATGTAATTGAGTTGTAATTGAAAAATAATTGTCAATTGCAGTCAATTCATTACTTTCAATTACTTGTAATTGAAAAAATGGTCAATTACACATTATATTCAATTACTTAGGAACTTGTAATGAATTACGGTCAATTACAATTACATATTTCAATTACCCCATGTCTGCTGTTAATATGAGTCAAATATCCCGTGTCACTTCCCTTCTTGTACTTGAATATCAATTCAAAACAATTTCGTATGAACCAAGATCTATAAAAAACCCAAAGAAAAGTAAACGTTATTGGATGGTATTTCGGATCTTTTAAAAATTCTGTATGTATTTGAGATGCGTTGAGCTGTTACCCCTATTTTAACTTAATATAATAGAAATGTGTTACTACTGCATATATAATTTTTCGTTTTCATTAGAGGTTCAACGAGTAAATGCTTATCGAATTTCATAAAAATTCGAAATGCCACCAAGTACGTAAATTTTGCTCTAACTTACAATAAAACTAGGAAATTCATAAAATTACTCATCTACAAATTATCTTGCTCTTTTCAGCCTACAAAAAGAAAATTGGTTTTACTGGACCTTTGTTGATAGAGCCTAAACCCAAAGAGCCATCAAAACATCAATATGATTATGGTAAGAATATATTACATAATTTTTACTTTTTCATTTATAGATATATACAAAGCTATAACTTCAAAACAGATTTGTTTGAACAGATAAAAAAAAACATTTACTTTTCTATAGAGTGTCTCTATGCCATTTTGATTTTCTTTCTTGAAATAGTTATTTGTTTTTATAGTGATTAAGATTATAACACAATGTTGACTGCTGTACCCCAATTTTTGACATTTTTATCTATTATGTCTGTTTGTTTTGCTCACATATTGTTGTCAATATAATGTAATTCTATGCGACTGACATATAACTGAGAGGTTTAGCTAGGAATATGACAGTTGTTTTCCATTTGTTTGATGTGCTTGAGCTTTTGATTTTGCCATTTTATAAAGGACTTTCCGTTTTGAATTCTCCCTGAAGTTCGGTATTTTTCTTTTTTTCGGTACAACCCCCCCCCCCCCCCCCCCTTCCCCCCCTTTATATCTTGATAGATATGTGGTTTCTTTTAAACATCGATTTTTATTTCAGATGCCATGACAGTTATTGGGTTCCTGAAACATTTTGGATTAGAAAATGACTACAAAGTAAGGATAACAAAGTTTTTTTATTCTCCCAAAAATGCATTCCAAATCGGTACACGATCCTTTCCTATCATCAGCTGATTGTTAATTATCTAATGTTTTATTTGAGGGATGGTGACCATCAAATACAAAATAAAAATGGTAACAAGTTTTGTTGAGATATTAGTTCTTTTCAGAGCCCCAATTTGTTTTCTCTTGATGTATATAGAACATCAGTGTGGTTTTAATTCCTGCAAGCAGTCATCATCAATGATCCAAACTTTACAGTGATTGTATAATGTCAGATCCAATTGCTGTATAAAAAACATGCAAGATAATTATGTTGTTTTGATTATTTAATTCGCGCCAATATTTGAGTAAACCAACATTATACAAAAACGTTTGATTAAATTTACTCATCATACTGGTGTTCATCAGTGAAGTCAAAGCATTACTATAAAATATAAAACATTTGTACTCTTGCATTAAAGTTAAGCTATTTAAGAAGATAGACGTATTTATAAAATGATATCTCCGAGACCAAGGAATATATTTGAATATACAATTCCTTGCTGAGACCAAAAGTAAGGCAAATTTAAATTTCTAAATGTTTTAATTAAAATCATTCCTTGTGATTTATTTTAGACAAATTACAATTTCTAACTGACCGAGAAAAAGCAAAAAGCCCATAATTTCCACATGGTTATTGCATATGATTGATAAGAGAATTATCAGAGAATTTGTGAATTACAGTTTACTGGATTGTATTTACTTTATTAATTAAACTATTGATTCCACAGATCATCTAATCAACAGATATCAGTATCTGGCTTATATGGAAATATGGTTTGGAATGGTTAATCCATTTTAGAATTAGTGGATATAACAGAGGTTTGAAAACTAAGTGCCAAGAGTGATTGATTTCAATATTTCTATTGACTCCTGTTGACTTTTTATATTTCATTTCATTAGATTGATATATTTTTATATTATTTCAGTTAAACATAGAACCTAATCACACGACCCTAGCAGGACACAGCTACGAACATGACATAGTTATGTCATCAGCGTAAGATTATTAATTATTTTACACATCCTATTAATTCTAATCATTTTATTCTAATTTAATTTCTGGGTTACTGTTATTGTTTCTGTTGTTTGATTTGTTGATTTGTTCTTTTTTTAGAATAGTCATTGTTAAGATTGAATGATAGATATAAAAATATAACAGAAAACACCATTAAAATTGCGAGGAATATATTGCAATATTAAAACATTTGATTCAAATTACAATGCACAAAGCGGACATGAAAAAAGTAAAATAAAAAAAATGCCGAACTCCACGGAAAATTAAAAACGGAAAGTCCTTGATCAAATGGCAAAACCAAAAGCTCAAACACATCAAACGACTGGAAAACAACTGTCATACTCTTGACTTTGTACAGACATTTCCTTATGTAGAATGTTATAGCGTGAACACTATTAGTTATGCACATCGTTGTGTTACTTCATGATATTGATTCAAACTGGTATTTAGGTATAGCCTAATATACCGTTAACTAATGTTACTTGATTCAATACCTGTCTCAACCCCTCAATGTCCCAAAGTAAAAAAGAAGAACGTCCTTCCATATGAAATATAGCCTTAGGTAGAACTAGTGGAACAAGATCTGCTTGCCCTTCTGGAACCTGAGATCACAATAAATTTTTGGTTGGGTTCGTGTTTATTATTTTTTTTTTATTTCTATGAATTTTTTTTGTGTTCTTGTTTATCTTGTAGTTTTTCTCTTGTGAGCTTTGAATGTTCCCTCGGTATTATCCGCGTATTTTTTTAAAGCATTTAAGTCCAAACGTTTTCTGTGAATCTACATGCAATCGCTATATTGAAAAACATAAACAATAGGAAGCGTTTCTCAGACTAATGAAACAGTACATAAAAAATTTCTCTATATATATGTTATCTCTTATATCTTTAAGTTGAGAAACTGGTGAAGTTTCGAAGACTTGTACGCGTATCGGTAGTCGTTGCTATGAAAATGCTATACAAGACCTGAGTATAAAATCAAATCAAATTTTATAAGTTGGTATGCAAATTCGTCACAAAAAGGAATTGTAATGAATATATATCAAAGTAGGTACACTTTACAGAATAACTTGTACCTTTACAAACAGGTAAAATATAGTTGGCGACATAAAATATTGTTATGTTCTGTCATCTAAGAGGATGTACCGTATGTATGATTTCATTTAATTGCTGCAAATTTTTGTTTATGTTGGAGGAGGAGTTTTATACTTTTTCTTTTCTTTTTGCTTTTTTTTTTTCTTTTTTTTTCGGACGCGTACTGTCATTGGCTATGATTTGTGTGAATCTAACGACGAGATCAAGATGCTTACATATCATGCAAAAGTCAGCATGCTGCTGCATCATTAAACCATAACAAACCTTCTGATACTCTCAGAAATCCATATCAATGGAAAACGGAATTGTTTCCTAATCAGAAGAAGGTCAAGAAGTCGTAATATCACAAATCGAAATAACAGAAACAATGAGGTAGAGGAGACTTGAGATATTTTAACAATAAAAACGAATTACAACCGTGTCATCGTGTTCATCTGTTGACAAGGACGACCTTGTTAAACCAGATTCTAGTACGCTCCTAAAAAAGAACAGCTAAATCAGTTGAAGGTCGAAAATGAGCATTTGAATAAGAGTGACATCTTTTCTATAAATGTTATATTATAAAGGAAAATCAGAATGTTACTGGAAGCACCGATTACAATACAGACGGGACTTTGAATTCAAAAAACTTACAAATGAACTGCATAATTTTATCTTTAATTAGTAAATTTATGTTTCGGGAATGCAAACGTTACTTCCAACTCGGACTTTAAAGTGTTAAAACAGAGCGGCTGTGCTTGAACGGTTTCATATCATCATGTGGTCACAAGCCATAGACTTAGGATACAGTTTTTTATTTTGTATTCAACTTTAACGAAAAGCTACAGTCGTACACTTATTATTGGAAAATTGATTCAAAATGTCACTTCTTGTCCTAATGAATTAATGGTGGTAGATTCTCTTACATAATTTGTTAGAAGAATTTGGTTGAGTTCAACTCCGTCACATATATTTTATTCTTGAGAGGGAAGGTTAAATGTTCATCTCTATACGTCTTGTATATTTGTCGGTGTTATTGATTAAAAACAAAGGCTTTTGTCATTGCATCAGGAGACTATGAAACTCAAAACTAAGTGTTCATCTGACACTAAACGTACAATGGCATTGTACAGATTTTTTTGTAAAGGAGACTTTCTCTATATACTTAATAAAAAGTCTTAATTCTAGCATTTCAAATTTCATTTTCTAAAATAATATAAAATGTTGAAAGCGTCAGTGCCAATTTGTATAGCTAAATATAATATTCTCGTAGTTATTGTAGTGCACTACAATTGATTTAAATTGAAACTTTTTAAAGATATAAATAATGAATAGTTTTGTTTATGGCAAGAGATGTATGAATTGTTAAATTGGTTTATCGAACATACATAGCCATGCATTAACTTTATTTCAGTAAATTGATTCTCTGTCCCATAAATCTCATGCATGTAAACTACATTCGCAATTGCCACTAAAATCATTTCACGATTTTGTAAGTTATTTATACAATGTATTAGAATAAATGTCTTATGGATACTATATTAAATGTTTGAGTTCTTTTATCAAAACAGCAGTATCCTGGTGTGTAAGCTGGTGGGTTGGGTCTTTAATAGCATTTGAAAATAATAATCAAGGTTAGAAATGGTCTTACAGGAGTTTGTTAGATATTTTAAAATTGAGTTACTGAATTATATTATTTGCTTAATTTATGTTTCGGATTATTTAGAAAGGCAGCAGTGAAACAGTTACATATATTCTATAAGCTTACATGTATTCTATTATCTTTTGATATATTTAAAACTTGCATCGTTTAAACCCATAAATATTTTAATGATGTGCAGACGGAACTCATATCTCATGTTTTAATACCACATGGTCGATACCTCTACTTGTGGACTATCAGCCCTTGAGGCTACCATCGACCCAGTAGTCATTGCTTTGGGATTTTGTCTGTATAATGTCAGTCCATAAAGTCAAGTTGTCAATAGATGTGTTTGACTGTTCTGTAAAGTTTTTGTATGAATAAGATGGGATTATTATGTGGCTTTGAGTGTTCCTGGTGAAAATCATCTAAGAAGCATATAATGTTTCCCAGGGCATGAAATCATATCATACATTTTCTCTTCATCTGGCAAATACATTTAAAACCCGTTTTCCATACATTTCTTTCAGGTACATTTAAAACCCGTTTTCCATACATTTCTTTCAGGTACATTTAAAACCCGTTTTCCATACATTTCTTTCAGGTACATTTAAAACCCGTTTTCCATACATTTCTTTCAGGTACATTTAAAACCCGTTTTCCATACATTTCTTTCAGGTTTGGAATGCTAGGTTCAATAGATTCTAACACGGGTTCTCCAGATTTAGGATGGGATACAGATCAATTTCCAATGGATGTGAAAAATGCTACGATGGTGATGAAGGTTAGATTTAGTGATGATGCGTTCACATATATCCGATTGAAAATATTATTATCTATATCCAAAATGACAGATGAATCCAAAGAAAATTATTAATAACTATATTTCATCTAGTATAATTGTAAAAAATAGCCTGAATATAGTTGACTACTGTAATTAATTAAAAAAAACCAAAGGCTTTATTATATCATATACAAAGGTTTTACAGAAAACAGACGTGTCGGCAGACATGCGGTCATATTTAAAATATGCACTTTTTGGAAATAAACAGAGACGTGCGTATCGATTGGCGTCTTTACAGTCTGTTATTATTTTCTAAGCATGACCAATATATGAATATTGATGCGGTCAACATGTTAATTGTCTTTCTTTTCAGACAGTATTGGAACAGAATGGCATACAACCTGGAGGTCTGAACTTTGATTGTAAAGTTCGACGAGAATCTACGGACTTAAAGGACATGTTTATTTCACATATAGGTATGGAATATGTGGTAGGAAATCAGCATAATCTATTTTCCTTTCTTTTCCTTTTCTTTTCTATTATTTGTAATATTAGAAATTTTTTTGTTTACATGTTATCAATTCGTTTATTATAATAATAATAATAATAATATTATTATTATTATTATTATTATTATTATAAATAGATGGCTTTTTACAAGATTGCAAATAATAAACTGAAACGTATAACAACTTATAACACTTAAAAGGAACATCTTTTCATAGAAATAATTTTGATGCCAGAGGTGTATTCCCTATTTAAAGTTGAAGTGTGTTACCACTAATAATTTCATAAAGCTTAAATGAATACGGACAGAGTTGATAAATGTGTAAATCCACGTACTGAAAGAGTGGTGACTATACATTCTCTTTACCCATGGCTACTGGTGGATTGCTAGTCCCAAAGGGTATCATCCTCTTCTCAAATATGACATTCTTACCTATATTTCAATTTTCATAGATTGAAGTTATGTATTAGGTTAAATCTATAGTAATCGTTAACTCTGTCATGTTCGTCGTTTTTAGCGCGATAACAATCAAACAAAAAATGGAGTTTTCTTGTATAAGATTATTCCACAGAAGTATAAAAATCATATCAGTATTGCTATCATACATTTTATAAACCACAAAATTGATACGATATTGTTAAGTAAATCATTTCTGTTTCACGCGTAATGTGCCAATGGTAAACTCCGTGAGATAATTTGTCAATTCTGTCCAAATGTAAATCATATTGCGAAAAACGACATTGAATTGACAGATCAATTTCACACTTTTGTCTTTGAGGTAGAATGTTGATTGCTTGACTCCGTCATATCGTGTTACTCTATTATCAAATGAATTGTGTATGGCCTTTTAACTACTGAGATCATTTCATTGCCTGGTTGACAAATTCCGTTCTATTATTCTAAGTTAGACTTGAAAAATTTGTCTCGTCTATTTGTTTAATGGAAATGCGATCAGAGTTGACGTTCCATGATTTAGACAGACTGTTTTCATTTAACGCTTATTATCTATAACCAGCTTTATTGCTGAATGCGACGTTTTGATACGTCATCCAGCAATGCTTTGCATGTTTGAAATAGAAGTTTAGTTTTTGTATGTCTTTCCAACCAGTGACCTTTTATAGTTGTACTTTTAGGTATTGAGTAAATTTTTGGTTATAATGTGATTAATGATGAATTATGAACTACTATCGTTTTGTATTAGGTGATCTGTTTTTCATGGAATTACAAGTGTTCGGCCCTTGGAAAATTCCATGTAAATTGTGCTTGTCCGGATTTAGTTTTTCCTTATTCCAGCAAGTGTTCTGGCTCATTCATGTATACTAGTAAGTTACCTATCTCGTTCACAGTTCACTCTGGGTGACCTTCTTTTGCCGCCATTGTCGCCAATCAGTTTTCTGATTTTTGATGAGAACGATGTCATTGTTAATGTTCGAACGTAGTCTTGTTTATTTATTTCGTGATGTACAGTATGTACAGATTTTAAATATATATATCTAAAAATACAATTGACCTTATTATAATGGTACAATTAAAAATCTGTATTTTTACCGTCTCCACGGAGAGGGTATTAAGAGCTGAACGATGCACAGTCTGCGGGCTGAATGCTTCTTACTATCTGATTGGAAGATAATTACTGACTCTTAATAGTGAAGTTCATTGATTGGTTGAGACAATCATAATCTAGTCAATGTCTGTTAATCCCGTAGAGTGGCCACAGACCACAATTAAATTCCCCTATTAGTTCTTTATAACGTTTTGTTTCATTAAAAAAATTGCACCTTGCATTTTTGTCAAATCTTTTGTGTGTATAATGTATAGTACTAGTCCAAAAATATATCCAAAATTCAGAAAGATTGAACCAATGACTCTTACAAATTTAGCCAATACACATCCATACCCCTATGGACAAGTCAAGAGATGTTCCGAAAACTGTAAATATCACCTTTTTGCACCTGGCCTAATCACTCTTTCCATATCAAAATCAGTTAAAATACAACATCCAAAAGATTATTTCACCTCTCTTCTTTTATTTCCACCCAAAAAAAACTAAGAAATGAGTGAGGAAGGGAAAGGAAAAAAATTAAGAAAAAATACACTCTAATTAAAAGGAACTATATTCGTGGACAACGAAAAGCGGGATCATTAATTGTGGTCTTGGGCCTATTAGGGGTCTAAAACTTGACCAATTCTAATAAAACTTGGCATGATTTAAGCTTAGTGTATTATAAAACAGTTTACAAAGTTTCAAAGCCATATGATACCAATTATAAAAAATGTGGCATTTTTTATATCTGAACTTTGGGTGCTGAATTGTGGCGTTGAATTAGAACAATTTCAACTATCAAATTTGGGCTTCTAAAAACCAAAATATACCAAAACTTACATTTTTTAATGTTTCTATGTATAAGTTATCACCTATTAAAAGCAACAGATAGCATACTTCATGTTTCAGACTTATAAAAAATGGCCAGAAGTAAATTTTATATGAGCCTGTGCCAAAAAATAGAGGTTTTCAAATGAATCGAGGCCTTATATGAAATGTAATATTTTTCACTTACCACAATTTTCTGAAGTTGTTAAGTTATAAAAACACCTTTTACATGTTATAAATGTACTTTTAATGGAAATATAAGTTTCAAATAGCATAACACATGTGAATAAAATGGTCTTCAGCAATGTCAAGCTTAAAAAAACAGGTTGTAAATTTAGGTCGTTCCCCACATTTGCATATTAAAAAGCATATAAATGATATGGTAGATAGAGATATGCTTCTTTTTGCTCAAATCTTTGTTTAGATATGATAAAACATGGAGCCTGGATGTAACATGACTGTCACTTTCAACTATATATGTAGACAGTATGATTTGATGCAAAGTTATTTACTTTACTTTTTAAAACCGGCATGAAATTTCAGCCTCAAAAGGCCAATATTTTAACCACTAGCTATCAAACAAAAGAAAATAAAGGTAGTCTGTGAAACAGACAAGGTCAAACAACCAGTAATAAGTGCTTTTGATACAGATTCAGTGAAATCTGCTAAAAGGAATTCAAGTTGTATGTGCATAGAACCTCATTTTTCACTTGCTTCATACTGACCGTTAGACTAAGACCATTAAAGCAGCACATTTTGCACTCTTATTCTGATTTTATCTACTTTTTTTTGTCTTCAGTGTTCAAAAATGAGTTAAACATCTACATTAGATATCACAAACACAAATAGAAAACCAGAAAAATCTGTCAGAGAGAAAGTAAGCATGCTACTTTTGTAAAAATATTGAAACAACTGAAAAAGTTCAATTTTGGGCATGTAGGCTGAAATGTCACTTTTTTACAAAATTTCTATCAAATAAAAGTGGAAATCATTTATTCTCATGTAGTTTGACAAATTAATACCAATAAAAATTCAGGGAAGTTGTCAAAGTACAAATTCAATATTTCCTGAATTCACCTCTTAGGCCACAGACCACAATTAAATTCCCCTATTAGTTCTTTATAACGTTTTGTTTCATTAAAAAAATTGCACCTTGCATTTTTGTCAAATCTTTTGTGTGTATAATGTATAGTACTAGTCCAAAAATATATCCAAAATTCAGAAAGATTGAACCAATGACTCTTACAAATTTAGCCAATACACATCCATACCCCTATGGACAAGTCAAGAGATGTTCCGAAAACTGTAAATATCACCTTTTTGCACCTGGCCTAATCACTCTTTCCATATCAAAATCAGTTAAAATACAACATCCAAAAGATTATTTCACCTCTCTTCTTTTATTTCCACCCAAAAAAAACTAAGAAATGAGTGAGGAAGGGAAAGGAAAAAAATTAAGAAAAAATACACTCTAATTAAAAGGAACTATATTCGTGGACAACGAAAAGCGGGATCATTAATTGTGGTCTTGGGCCTATTAGGGGTCTAAAACTTGACCAATTCTAATAAAACTTGGCATGATTTAAGCTTAGTGTATTATAAAACAGTTTACAAAGTTTCAAAGCCATATGATACCAATTATAAAAAATGTGGCATTTTTTATATCTGAACTTTGGGTGCTGAATTGTGGCGTTGAATTAGAACAATTTCAACTATCAAATTTGGGCTTCTAAAAACCAAAATATACCAAAACTTACATTTTTTAATGTTTCTATGTATAAGTTATCACCTATTAAAAGCAACAGATAGCATACTTCATGTTTCAGACTTATAAAAAATGGCCAGAAGTAAATTTTATATGAGCCTGTGCCAAAAAATAGAGGTTTTCAAATGAATCGAGGCCTTATATGAAATGTAATATTTTTCACTTACCACAATTTTCTGAAGTTGTTAAGTTATAAAAACACCTTTTACATGTTATAAATGTACTTTTAATGGAAATATAAGTTTCAAATAGCATAACACATGTGAATAAAATGGTCTTCAGCAATGTCAAGCTTAAAAAAACAGGTTGTAAATTTAGGTCGTTCCCCACATTTGCATATTAAAAAGCATATAAATGATATGGTAGATAGAGATATGCTTCTTTTTGCTCAAATCTTTGTTTAGATATGATAAAACATGGAGCCTGGATGTAACATGACTGTCACTTTCAACTATATATGTAGACAGTATGATTTGATGCAAAGTTATTTACTTTACTTTTTAAAACCGGCATGAAATTTCAGCCTCAAAAGGCCAATATTTTAACCACTAGCTATCAAACAAAAGAAAATAAAGGTAGTCTGTGAAACAGACAAGGTCAAACAACCAGTAATAAGTGCTTTTGATACAGATTCAGTGAAATCTGCTAAAAGGAATTCAAGTTGTATGTGCATAGAACCTCATTTTTCACTTGCTTCATACTGACCGTTAGACTAAGACCATTAAAGCAGCACATTTTGCACTCTTATTCTGATTTTATCTACTTTTTTTTGTCTTCAGTGTTCAAAAATGAGTTAAACATCTACATTAGATATCACAAACACAAATAGAAA